AAGATTAAGAATAAGTAAACTATTACTTTTAAGTATTAAGCTATAGGTAACTTAGATTTATAGTAGAGTTAGTGCTTTATTACCTATATTATCCTCCTCTTTAAATATATTAGGGAATAATATAAATATATTATTAGTACTTTAGTGAGGGGCTATAGGTATATTATTTATAAATTAAGTAGTTTAATAAGGGGTTAGGTTAACTAAAGTTAAGTTTAGTTAAAATAATAGTATTAATAAAAATAGGGTATTTTAGAACTAAATTATATATAGTAGATCTTTTTTTTATTTCTTTTATATTATTATTACTTTTTAATAAGAGGATATTTTTAAAGCTCTTTATAATAATAGAAGTACTATAAATATATACTTTCTTTATAATATAAACTTAAGAGCTACTAAATTATTAGTTTTAAGTTTAGTTTTAGTAATAATAACTTTAATAATAGCTTTTTTAGTAATTTCTTTAATAGTAATAGTTTAATAAGCTTTCTTAATAAGTATAATAATTCTAATTAATAATAAAATAAAGTATTAAAGAAGATTTCTAATAATATCTTATATTAGTTATTATATATATTATTATTTCTATATACTATTAATAATAAGTAATAGATAATACTTAGATAGGTTATTATCTATTTACTAAGTTATATAGTAGTATTTAGGAAGTATTATAATACTCTTAGATAATAAGATTTAATAAGAATAGATTAATTAAAGTTATTAAAATAAGTTAATTATTATACTATAAGTATCTATATAGTATTAGGTAAATTTTTATATATATATAGGGATTATGTGTATGTAATTTCGGTAAAAAGGGGGGGCGGACGCTATTAATGTAACGGACTGTAAGGAGCCAGCTAGCTAAAGGTTCCGCGATCAGAAAAAAAAGTTGTTCTACCCTTTCCGCAGGGACCATTTGAGTTCACTGGACAAGAAGCTCCAAGCAATAAACATCGCTCTTCAATCAGCGATGCAACTGATGGAACTGTATGAAACCTGTGCCCTGTTGACGCTGTCACTGCTGACACTACGTAGGGAAATTTCAATGGCCACGCAAGTCTCTGTCTGCCAAGTTCATGAAGAGACCTCAATTGCAAACACGATGCTGCTCGATATCAAGGCTGACATCGCCCGGAGTATTGCGCAAAATCAAAGCCATGATCTGGCGATTCAGAGCGACATGGACGAGCTGAAGTCCATAGTAGAAGCGCTTGTATCTTCGAGCTCCGACACTATGTTGACCATGCAGAGATTGACATCAAACCCGGATGTGCTTAAAACCGTCTGTTCTGGAATCAGCGACGTTAAACCGAATCACCCACTGTTTCAAAAGAATGGATCTTCTGACAGTAAAGTATATGACGAAGCAGAGAACGTCTATACGAGCTTCTACTGTAATTGCGATACTCGACGCCGCCTGAATCGCAAGGCATGGCGGTCTGGGCCAGCCCTTTTAGTGAAAGAGGTAGCTGTCAAAAGACCCCATCTCCCAGGATGTCCATTAACTGCCTGCATTGATGGACAAAGCAAATGGACCGCCGAGTTCTCTGCAAACCTGTTTCGAGGGCTCGTTTCAGTAGCGATAACAATCACGACTTCAACGATTCTTGGTGCAGGTGGCTTTTCGATATCGCCGTCATTTACGTATCTCTCTGTACGAAATACCAGTCCTGCTCGAGAAGCCATTCATCTCCTCGGTCAAGCATTCAATGAGAGGGAGTGGAGCGCAAGGGATTCCCACAACCTGATGTGGCGTGCCATCAGGACCATTCAGACCAGCTTCAACTCCAGGACTTCATCACCGTTTGACATTGACAGCGATGGGAAGACATTACTACATGATGTACTGATGATTCAGATCAACAATAATTCGGAAATGCCGCGAAACGAGATTTTGAAGTTTTTGGCCATGGCTGGCGTTCCGCGGGATCACCCGGACGGACGTGGAATGTAAGTACTTCGAACACTAGGCTTGGACGTGGAGAGCATTGATGTATTCGTAGTTACCCATTTCAAGCCGCCTTTGGATCGATGTTCTACCCGCAATCTCCAACCCCAGAGACTCTACAGATGCTCTGCCCAGATAATGGCCTGTTAAGTCTCGATATTCAACAGGCGGGGAGAGGTTCGCCGAAGTGTTTGCCGAAGTGGTTCTTCCTGAACATCCACGACAAAATAATTGGTATATCCCCCAAATATGCCGAACGTAAGATATGCTGTTCTAGTAACGTTGCAGGGGATAATTACATCATTTCTGGCTATTTGGACAGAGGCCTACCTATGTTATTTCTAATAGTCTATTTCATCTTGATGATTTCATTACCCCTGGCTTCCCTGGCTTCCCTGGCTTCCCTGGCTTCCCTGGCTTCCCTGGCTTCCCTGGCTTCCCTGGCTTCCCTGGCTTCCCTGGCTTCCCTGGCTTCCCTGTCGTCCCTGTCGTCCCTGTCGTCCCTGTCGTCCCTATCGCTATCGCTCTCACTATTTCTGTCTTTGCCTCTACCTACAATCTTCTATGCCCACTACCCGCCCGGATAGCTGGATAGCTAGGAACATCCGCCCGAATAGCAAAGCTGTATACCAAGGATGACCGCTAATGGTACTGGATGTAGTGTACGATGGGCATCCATCAGAACCGATCGTACTGCGCAATATACCAGCCTTAAAACACGCTCTGGATCGTAACACGTCTTTGTCGGAGTTGGCTACATTCGATGCGTTCGGCAACACTTCTCTGAATCATCTACTGTCCTGGCCGGAGGGATTCAAGCTTGTGCTCGATAGATTTGGCAGAGGAGTGTTCGATGCATCCGGCGACGCCCTCACGCTGGATTATGCGTTGCTTTGGAGTGGTCGTATTTGTACCAGTGAGCGATCAACTTTGTGCCAGAGTGACTGCTCATGTACGAATGGACTTCGGCTCATTATGGAATCTGACGTCGAATGTATTGCTAAAGCCACAAGCGGAATTCTTTGGATGATTTCCGTACTATACGCATCCAACAGAGCTCGCGAGATGGTCATTGGGCGCCTTAAGGAGGCCAGACAGGAGTTGAAAGAGCTCGCGCTCCTGCTTTTGGCGCCTGATGAAATTGAGAAATGGGACCTCCGGTGCTCCAAAGTCCTAGATCATCATACAGGCAGTGTCATTGCCGCACTCAAACGAAGGGGACATGTCGTTCCGCGTCCGCTGGCAACCCATCGACGATCTAGGGAAGATGAAATGTGGTCAGTCTATCTCAATCTGGCTCATTATCGTTTCGACGGAGCCCCGGTGGCAGAAACATTCTATCGACATGGTTTCTCTGATGTAGACTTGCCAGACTCAAGCGGCTACACCCCAATAGCGTATGCGTTAAATCCCGGATATATAGCTTGGTTGATTCAGCATGGAGCAAAGCTTCATGTTCGTCTTCCGGAGACAGTTGAAGGGCACGTCGTCGCGCACATCTTGTCCGCACATACGATTGGAATGTTTCAGTCGACGAATGTGCAAGCATGCAAGACAATCTTAAGCTCTATGTGTCAACACTGGTACCTTGACGCATGCGTCTGTGGTTGTTCAAAAGGAGGATGCCACCCTTTTACAGCTACGTGGATGGCGCTGTTCGGCCTCATCTTTCCCACCGACCAACCACCATCACCGAAACAAATTCACTCAGCGACTGAATATATCTGCAGAGTTACAGCCCAGGTCGAATCAATGAAAATGGACTCAATAGAATTCAGGTCAGCTTGTTTGCGGGCATGCACGTTTGAACTGCTGCCTTTAGCACACACGTGCTGCCGCAGAAACGATGAGTACGCTGAGTGGCGGGTGCAGGCACACGACGCAGAAGACAGGCTTGAGATAAGGGATGAGGACGCTTTGGAACTCGAAAAGCTAGAGGCTTTGATTGAAGAGTTCGAGAAAGAGTTTGCCAAAATGGGATCTTATCTGACCACGTTTATGCAAACATATTGGTCAGAACGAATGGGCATTGTGATCCACGAGCTTGGAGATTATCAACTCAGCGAAGAAGAGATTCAGAACATTGAGATGCTGGGTGTGTGTCCCCAGACCCAAGCTGAGACGAGCAGGGAGGACGAAGTCGACGGCGATTCTTCTCAACTGGATTACTGGTACCGAAAGCTTGACGCATTGGTTTAACGGCATCTTGCGTGAAACAAGCTCTATTATTGTGCTAAAACATATGGCTGATAGAGCATGAAATGATACGAAGAGATATATCCTTCATCCATTGGTATTGTCTCTCTCTCCATCTGTTCCAGAGGTGCAGTTGATTTGCAAGAGGTCGTTTTCCAAATTCTTGCACTCGTACACAGGAGGATTTCCGCTCGGCACGGTGACCGTCACGTTTTCGGCGCGAATGTTGCTGCAACGCTGTGTGATCAAGTATCAAGTCAGTGCCTATCCGAGATTGAGATGTGAATAGTCAATGATCTGTGTTACTTACGTCTGGGGCACTGCAAACCAACGTCCCGGCCTGGGGGTCAAGCTTGGCCGAGGTCGTGCCATAAATATTCTTGAGAGTGATGTCGGTGATGGTCAGGTTGGCCTTTGGGGAAATCCTGCGTTAGCACATGACTTCGATCACACGTCCGTGTGAGATAATTAAGCTTACCGGGTGCTCTTCGCAAAGAGTCTGGTTCTTCTGGCCGTAGCACTGGGTGATGGTGATGGCACGATCGTTGTTGATGTTCTTGAACAGATCATACGTGACGTTCCTGACACGTCCAAGACCGCCGCCTCCGTTCAGGAGAGTCTGGAAAGACGACTCGATACCAGGCCAAACCTTGATGCGGGCCGCATCGCTAGCGTCAGCCATGGTGATGTTGTATATGTAGAGGTTCTCGACAATATCGGTCTCGCCCTTGTATTGGCCGAGAGATCCAACGCTGATACCGTGTGAGCCGGTGCAGTCAAGGTTCTGGATGACGACGTTCGTGCTGTTTGGCTTGAAAGACACGCAGTCTAGAGAAGATCAGTCGCGTCCCCAATTGCAGTAACCTGAGAACTCACCGTCGGTGTTGATGATGTACGAGTCCTGGATGACAACTCGGTCGGAGCGATACGTGTCCCATCCGTCTGAGTTGGCGATCTTGGTGCCGTTTGTGCTCTGTATGGATGTCAGGAATGCAGTTGAAACTGTGAAAGGTTTGCCACAAACCTCTGCCCTCAGATCCATGTTGCTGATGAGAACATCAGTACTGTTCGCAATCAGGTTGAACCACTGCATATGTCAGTCATTGGTGTTTAAGAGAGAACGTCTTTTGGGATCTTACGTTCGGCGGGTTGCGCATGCGAAGGTGGGACATTGTGGCACCCTTCACTCCCTCGAAAGAGAACAACATGGGCCTCAGAAGCTAGTGGAGAGTCGAATAAGTCAGCCAATTGAATACTGAATTGTCTCGCCAGGCTCTCATCAACCACTTACGCTGCTGTTGGTCTGGATCGCGACCCAGTAAGCTTGGCCACGACCATCAATGACAGACTGATCGTTGCTCAAATCACCGTAGATGTTGATGTCCTCTCCTCCAAGCTTCCAGAAGACTGACTGGTTCTGGAAGGCGAACTTGAAGCTGTTGTCGGCCCAGTAATAAGGATCATCGTTGAACTCAATGGATCCAGTGATGACCACGTCAATGTGCTTCAAGAAGGTGAGATCCAGGGGCGAGCCGATGAGGTAGGACTTGTCGAAGACAACGGTGCCACCATCATTGCACTTCTTGAAGGCGTCCAAGATCTTGGGCGCATCGTCTCGCTTCTCTCCGCAGCCAGGCTTGACGTAGCAGTACCGGCCCTTCTCTCTGGGAGGAGAGTGAGGCATGTCCCGCCCAGTGTTGTAGGGAGCTGGCACGACATGAGGACGTTCGGGGATGTTCGGCTTCGGCGAGGCAACTGATGCGGCAGAAGACACTGGCAGCAGCGCAGAGGCTGCGGCCAGAAGGCTCAGTGCAAGTGAACGCATGGCTGCAATCGTTCAGCAGCAGATGGGGAGATTGAGGTGAACAACGCGACGGCCACCACGCATCGCTCACCATTCGTCTGAAGTTTCTTTCTTCATATATAACAATTATTCGGAAATTATCCAACTCTAATTAGGTTTAGGTAAGGGACCACGCCCGGAGAATCATAACATCATCTGTTAATGTTCAGCGCAACGATACGCGGAAGATTTGTGGGGTCATGTAAAGGTTGTTCGGGTCTGTCGGTGAAAATTCTCGCGGAGCCAGGGGCAATCTTTCCTGCTCAATATTCCGCCCACGGCGACCTGCTCCCCCGTTCTGACCGTTGGTCGAGCTGGTTAAAATGCCCTGCGGCTGAATCCTGGACCACGCGGCCCCGCATGTCCAACCCCGCGCGATGGGGGAATGAGATGCGGAGACGCTGACTGAGGGGGGAATGGATAAGCATGTGGCCACTGAGGGTTTTCCGCTTGATGAGCCGAAATTAGTGTTGGGAGGTGTTCACGAAGCATCCTTCCCAAGCTACTGGGATCATGCTTCTTTGTGGGTTTGGCGGTGTGAAAGAGTAGCTCGCACACCCTTGGTGTTGAGGTCCCCGACAGCGACGAAGAAGTCGTGTTTACAAACAACGTCATCGAGTTTTGTTTCAAACATTTCCCAGTCGAATCTGCGAACGACCGACGCCGTGGCCAGATACAACTCGGCAAAGGCGAGACTGAGAGCGGTGTCAGTGGAAACTCCCTCGAAGATGTTTGTCATTGAAGGGTTCGGCTTACTTCATGCCAAGACACTGTCGACTACCTTTTCCGAATGATACGAGGTACTTGTCCAGTCTCTTACCTTGTTTCTCCGCTTCCAACCACCTCTCGGGCTTGAAAGTCTGAGGCTCCGGGAAAATTGACGGGTGCATCAAGACAAAGTATGGGGTCTGCGATACAGGTGTCTGCGATGCAATTAGTGGTTGGCGGGGCGGTTGTGCTGATCCGGGGCGGTAACATACCCCTGCCGGAATGACATATTCCCCATACTGGATGTCGTGGTGGGTAATGCGTGGCAGACGAGTCGTAACTCCGTATGAAAGTCGAAGTCCTTCTCGAATCACAGAGGTCTGAAGAGAGTCAATTGGAGATGAGCCATTTGATTAGCGAGATAGGAAACGTACCAGATAAGGGAGCTTCTGTAGGTCAGCCCAACACAGAATCTCCGTGGCTCTTGGCATTGCCGCATCAATTTCGTCTCGTAGCCTCTTCAGTGCATCTGGCACATACTTCAGATAAAAGAGGATTCGAGTAATGGTTTGGGCTGTTGTCTCAGACCCTGCACCAGTCAAAATCTCCGCCTCGTCGCACAACCTCTGTAAGGTCTTCTCTTCTGGTGGTAAATCGCTGTCGCGCAGCATATGAAAGATGGTTCTCGAAGCAGCCCCTGTTTGGTCGTCCTTTCCGTCTAAAATTGGCTCAACTTGTTGTTTAACACCCGCTTGCCAGCGAAGTAGATGGCCAACAGATGGGTTCATCGCAGATACCATTGACAAGGGCAGCCTTTTCATGACGGGCAACATCCAGGGAAATTGCCGACCAACAGCTCCGCCTTCGAATGCCCCAATGATAGTTTCTTTCCATATCAACTTGAAGTCGGGTTCGTCCAGATACTTCCGATCATTAGCAAACGCGTAGTCGCATATGATGTCCATCGTCAGCGCCATGAAAGCGGCATCGAGCCGGACGACTTCGCCCGTCTGTGCGATCTCGCTAAACCTCGCCGCGAGTTTCTCCACCTTGCACCGGATCAGCGGCTCCAGTTGGGTCACGGAACGGACCGAAAAGAATGGCTTCAGAGCCCCACGGCGCAGCCGGTGCAGATCATGCGGCACAGTCGAGAACGAGCTGCCGTCCGCGCCGGCGAGATTGGTCCACCACCGATATTTGTCGGACTTCCTGTTGGACGAGTAAAGCTCATCGTAGAATTCAGGGTCGATGATGTGCAGCTCGTATGGGTTGATTCTAACAATTGGCCCTAAGCAATGTCAGAAGTGGACACAATGACTCAGGGGGCTTTAGGGGGTTCTCATACTGACCGTATTTCTTGTGCATGTCCTCGATGCGCCAGATAAATGTCCCTCGCTTAATCACATCCCAGTAAAACTCATTCCATAACGTCAACGCTGCAAATTTGGGCCCTGGAAAGTTGGACAGTGGTGAAAAGAAGACCCTTTGAATCGCGCTGATAATGAGAACCAGCAAAGGACCAGCTCCGAACAAGAGGAGAATCACGCTCCAATCCATCATCTTCCGATTGTGATCCAAATCTCACAGGCAAGGGATGCTGCAGGATACTGGATCACTGTCCTCGCAGGGTGACCAGTGACATTTTGAACAGTCCAAGACCTGGTGTCGATAACCCCGCTACCTGGTTGAGGGGTGGCCTGACCCCACGAAGAATCATGGAAATTCCAGCGGTGAAAACGCCATCGTCTAAGTACCATGTCACTGGCAAGACGCTATCGAGCCACCATTCCCGATTCCTCTCAGTTGATACCGCTAGCAGGGTTCAGCGTGGAGCAGAACAAAACCTTCTTAGACGCTCCCAGCATATCGATTGGTTGCAGCCGGCAATGGCACAAGTGACGAAGGAAGCACTCAGCAGACGGCTTTCCATCTCCATTTTGATCCCGCCAGACGCTCAAATGTCCTCCCTGGGAATGAGACTGATGGCCTGTCAGCAGCTGCCATCCAATCATCGCAAGCGTTATCTTCATGTCGTGTTCCCTGACGCCACATGGCGAGCCCCGTTGATCCTTTCGGCCCCATCGAAGACCGCCAGAAAACGATGTCACCTCCCTGATCCCATGTCCGCACGAAGTCTTCATTTTCCCCTCCTTGCCACCTCTTATGAATGTCATTTGCTGCGTACTGTTCTTGCCCTTTACCTGAGCCAGGTCATTCGAGTTGCAAGTCAAGATTAGCAAGTTGCATACGGGCTGGTAAGCCTTCTGAACGGCCCTTTAGTTGCATTTCCGCATCCGGAGCATATCATGGTGTCCACAGACGAACCCTCACGGGTCACCGACGCCGCCGGCTGCCCGAAGTCAATCAAGTCGGCGGGGTCCCGAGCCGGCACACGCTCCCCGCGATCACCACCGCAAGCTTCAGGGCACGGGTCCCCTGCTGTAGCAGCCGGAGCAGATGAAGCTGTCGAAGCGCAAGAATTTCATCCCGAGTTAGAAGCTGAAGTGCGCTATTTTCACTCCTAATTAGGATCGCGACCCAACTGACGAGTCTGATTTTGCAGTCTGATCTTGGTAGCGACACCGCTTCCAACTATGCCAGTGACGTTTCCGATACCTCGAGTGCAACATCCTCGATCTTTGACTACGAGTATGAAAATGGGCGTCGGTACCACGCATACCGAGCTGGACAGTATCTTTTGCCCAATGATGAGACCGAGCAGGAGCGCCTTGACATGACCCATCATGTGTTTTTGTTGACTCTCAAAGGCGAACTTTGTGCAACGCACCTGGATAATCCTCAAAAGATTCTCGATATTGGCACCGGTACTGGTATTTGGGTTTGTCTCTCAAGACACTGGAAATCCCACAGTTCTACTAACTTGGAATTTTCAGGCCATTGAGATTGGCGACGCGTTCCCTTCAGCGGAGGTTACTGGAACGGACTTGAGTCCAATTCAACCGATTTGGTGAGCTACAGTGCGGAGCATAGCAAGATCTCATGTCTCATATCAACAGGGTCCCACCAAATGTGCGCTTCGAAATTGACGACGCCACCCTAGAGTGGACATTCCCGAAGAACCATTTCGACTTCATACACGCGCGTACTCTTGCTGGCGCGGTGCAAAACTGGCCAGCCCTCATCCACCAATGCTATGAACACGTCAAGCCCGGAGGCAGCATCGAGATCTCGGAAGGCAGAGCCAACTTCTTCTGCGAGGACGACAGTCTCAAGGGGGACTCGGCAACATGGCAGTGGCTCAGCGAGTTCAGGAAGCTGAGCGCCCCGCTAGGTTTTGACATTGCCCCCGCACTTCCTGACATGCTGAAAGGCGAAGGCTTCGAGAATGTGAATTACGTGCAAAGAGTCGTTCCCATGGGTACTTGGCCCAAAGACCGAGACCTGAAGGAAATTGGTCGGTGGTTCAGGGTCCAATTCCTAGAGATGGCTTTGGAAGCCTACACTCTTGCCTTGTTCACCCGTGCCGGTAACTGGAAGAACGAAGAGGTTCAGGTTCTACTGGCTCTGGTGAGAGAAGAGCTGAAGTCGGATAAGATACACTTATACACCTACACGTGAGGCTTCCTTCCTTGCTTGATTACGTCAATCCGATACTGACCCGAAAAGCGCATTCGTTACCGGAAAGAAGCCTTTAACTGCCACATAAACAGCGTAAAATCGACAGGATAGATCTCAGTTTCTCAAAGATGTGCATGAGTTCTGCGCGATCTTAGCGATAATATTTAGTTTATTAGGCGATTACAAGATGTCGGTAATCCTAGCTCTCGAGCATGTGGTAGTCCAAAGGTTCGCTGTCACTATGTGACATGACAAATGAAAATTTGGTTCTTGGAGTTGGGTATCAGTCATAGACAAAAGAAACCACCTATCTGCTGTTCTTCTAGCCCCAATAACTCAGTTCAATCTCTTGTATCCGCCAAAGTCACTGACCCAAGCAACCGTAACTTTAAGAAGATCCACCACAATATCCAAAAATGAACTGTCACTACTGCATCCAAGAACAGACTAACTTCGAAACTCGGCTGATCCGTTTACGAAGCTTTCGGTTAGCCTCAAGCCAACAGTGTCTTCGAAGCATCAAAGCCAGATCTCAGCGCTGAGGGTGGCTCCACCTGTAGTACGGCATAGGTTGCGGCCGTTCGGCACGTGGAGGACCGTTCAGCTTGACTTTTGGTCTTCTCTCTGTGAATTTCACAGCAGGTTCTTGCCAGCCCTTCTTTTGTGTCCGCCGCGGACCGTGCTCATTTACAACCCAAGGCTCATGCTCATTCACTGTGAACGGTGGCCGGGCTGGTGTCTGAGGATAAACCGGATAAGGCATCGATGTTCGACGAGGTCTTTTGGGGGGCCTTCTGTTCCACGGGAAGAAAGCAGGAGCTGGTGGTCGCGGTGGTGGCGTCTTGACTGAGTATTCAGAATAGGAAGTCGTGGTTTCATCGTCGTACATGCCAGAGTATGAACGTCTTGGTTTCGGACGATTCATGAGGCAATAACAGACGATCAAAAGGATGGTCACGACGCCGACGATGCCGCCCAAGATCGCGCCAATTTGGGCGCTCGATAGAGACCCGCTTCCCCGGCTCGGAGGTGGCGCCTCCGCAGTCGGGGTGGCGGCGACCGGTGTTTCCGGGATGTCAGCGCCGGGGACCGGAGTGGGGTCACCGGGGCCGAGGGTGACGTATGTGAGAAAGGTGGTGGCCGGCCGTCGAATTGTTTGCGTAATCACGTGGACGCCTTCCTCGTCCTGTTGTCGGGCAGCAAGACTGAGGAGGCCGCCGATGGGCTGCGAGATCGGAGTAGGGTAGATATGCATGCTGACGGAATCACATCAGGTTGGCTGATGAGCTGCTGGCTTTCCAAAGTCAGGGACCAAAAGGCAAGAACGAAGCGGCCAACTGTGCCAACGCAGAGACGGGAATGATTGACATGGATGAACACCAGCCTGGAAGCCACAAAAGAAAAGAGAAAGTGCAAAAGCTCGTCTTCTTATTCACTGCGAACCTTCAAGCAGGCTGTGGTCTGCGGCCTGACTAGCTTCCTCATCCATCTCACTCTGGCGTAGTGCCGAGACTGCCTGCTTGCCTGCCAAGGCACAACCGACTCACACGTTCTATCGCCAGACTTGCTATGCAGTAAGGCACACACGAACGCGCGACTCCCCACGAACAGGCTGCAAGCATCGCTGCAGCGCGACACACCCCTCAAGGCCCGAAGCGCACTGGGCGAAAGACACAATCAAGACGCGACTAACCTTGTTTTGACACCCCTACTACCCCATAGCCGAAGCATCGATGTTGCACAGCTTGCGCCTGACACATCCGGGCCAGCTGCAAAGACAACATGCGGGCCATCAGGGCTGGCCAACGGGAGACCGACAGCGTGGTGTCATAAGCTTGCAAGTGTGCCCACATGATTTTCTGCCAGTCAACATTTTGCGATAAAAAAAACTGGAAACCTGAGTGATCATGGACAGATCCACCAATCGCGCGAGATGGTTGGGCTGAGCTGCATGGCTTTGGGGGTACAAACGAGCCAATACGGCGAAGTTGCGGACAACCACCAGCAAGTACCGCGCAGCAAGTCCATCGTAAACACACCCACACGGGGTGCGGCCCGTCTCTCTGGTTCCGTGGTGTGCGGATACCATGGATGGGCAGAGTGCTCATGTGGTTAAGTACGAGTGAGACAGGTGTATATCAACCACGACGACTTCTTAGTTGCTGACCCTCCTTCGCATGTGCGAATTTGGCCCCCAACAAGTCGATGTCTGACGGATAACACGGGCATTAGTGCTCATCATGCAGGCAGCAACACGTTTGCTCGGTTCTTGGTGTTGTTTGTTGTTATCGTCACGGTCACTGATTGATGGTTGGATGACAAATTCATGAACAGAATCCCGACGAAGTTAATTTGCTACCTCAACGGGTGACGCGATGCCGGCCTCATCGCTACCAATTTCCAGGTGTCGTCACGTCCTTGATCGTGCTCGATCGATCCCCTGCACCCGCGAACCCAAGGCGTCATTTTTTCCAAACTCCCCCGAAGAACTCCCGCCTGATATTATAAAAATGCCCCAAATAGGAAAATATGAGTACCTGAACGAAATTACATCGTGCCATGTCGTGTTTTGTTGGTGTCGGTGGTGGTGCCAGGAAGCAGCGCTGCGCGGCGCGCGGAGAGGCCGGAAGAGATTTTTGTCCGCGGTTCAAAATGACCAAAGAGTAACAAGAATTGCGTTCGATCATTGGGGCCAGGCGAGCGAACTTCAAACTTCTTTGACAGAGTATCATTGGCAGCATCTGGTGATTCTCGAGTCAGCGCCTTGCTTCTCTCATGTGTTTCGTTTCGCCGCAGTGCGCCGATCAACGACACGAGGAGGAGAATGACTTACTTATACTTCGATCGGACTTTAGAAAGATTATGCGACGGCTCTCCCGCAAGAAAACACACAAAATACACGGTCCCCTTACTCTGCTGCGCGGTTGGGTTGCGCGGCAGCCGTCGGGTTGTTGTCGACAATGATACCGACGCCGGCTCCACCCTCTCCGTTTCCGAGTTGCACCTTGGGGCCCTTGGTGAGAGCGGCCTCGGCAAAGGTGAGGGCGCGGTCGAAGCCGCTGGCCTGGCGCTTTTGCACCTTCTTGACATCACGTCCGGCCACAATGCCGGTTCCTGGGGCGCCAGCGGCGGCGGCCGCAGCGGCAGCTGCACCCTCACCACCGGCAGCGCCGCCCTCCTTCTTTCCGCCGCCAGTTCCCTTGCCAGTTGTTCCCTTGCCTCCACCGGCAGCGCCACCTTCGGCTCCTCCAGAGAATGTGAGCGCACCATCACCGACCACCAAGGCAGGCGAGTAGGCACCGAGGTTGATGTTCAATGGGGCGGGGGCGGCGTTGACTCCCATGGCAAGAAGAGCCAGGGTCATGAGGGCGTTGGTGATCTGCATATTGGCGAGAGGATTGGAAGGATTCGGATAGTAAGAGGTGTAATTGGTTTGTCGGCGCAGCCGTTGGTATCTTTCTTTCCCCAAGAGGATTATTAAGTAGTATTGAATGAAAAGGGCTTTCCGTCAAGGAGATTGAGAAAAGAACAGCACAGCTGAGATAGAGGAAAAGGGAAGAAAGCAGGCAAAAGCACACGCGTCAACGAGTGGCAAGGCAGCGGGAGGGAGAGCGTAATGAATGAAATCTCCACGACATGCCAAGAGGTTGTTCAAATACTAGACATGAACGGAGTCAGGTTCGTGGAGTCGCATCGAGAGAGTGTGATAGATGGCGGGAGGAGAGAAAACTGACAGGCCTGCTCGTCCAGAGCTGCGACGGCATCATGCGTGTCAAGACCTGCGGGTGCCAAGACCAAGCGGCTCTTGCAAAAATAGAAGCTCTGTGCAGGGTGCCTGGTGAGAAGAGATGATAGGTCCAGGGCAATCTTAGCATCTGGCACCCGCCTTTGCGTAAATGGGGGCAAAAGAGCCGCGTCTGGCCAGGGACCAATGTGGTATTGTTGGTAGGCATGTTGCGACGGGGAAGAGTGTCTGAGCGGAGGTGAAACAACCCAAGTCCCAAGACTGCCAGCGACGGGGGCACCCCGAAACCATACAAACTCTTGGCAAAAGATCTCGAGGTGCTCATTGCTCACCGAGGGTTAGGTCTTCAGGTGGTTTACTGCAAAACCTCTCTCTGAAGTCTTCCGTTTCTGGTGAGTTGTAAAGATAGATGAAGCCGCGACGTTTTGAAATGTGGGCACGCGGGGGTCCAACTAGGGACGAGATCTGCGACCCTGTCACATATCAACGGCTGCAGCACCGTTTTGGCTATTGAATGTCCGGAGGCAGATTCCTGGTGAATTGCATTCTCCGGGAAGGAATATTGCTCGTGAGACTTGGCCAAGCCTTTCCTGAAGCCAAGAGCGTTTCCCAAGAGATGGCCCGGTGCATCGATCGGATTACCAAGGCTACTCCAAGACTTCCAAGAGATCTCCCTCGCTCCCACTGCTATAGTGAATGAGGTTTTCGCCTGTCATTTAGATTAATACAGGACGAGGGTATGCTTTCCCCCTCCCGAAAGTTGTTTCCCTGGCGCTGCGAACATAAAGGATTGATTGGCCTGGGATGTTTCTGCGCGGCCGCTATGGAAACCTACTCGTACACCGACCCGGGCCGACGGAGTCAGCGAACGCACATGCTAAGCCGGGTTGGTTCTTCGGAACAGACACTGGCAGCGCCGATCCGACATGACACGGATCAGGACGCAAGAGTAGAATTTTCCGCTAGGTGCAAAGGAGGGATTTAAAGCAAACGAGCAAGCTAGCCGCCCTTGTCTTACGTGACACTCAAGAGTGTGCATTGACTGAGCGCTAATAAGGGACAATGTCGCTGATCCTGTCTGGACAATTGCCCCGGAGTGCTATCGGGGCCATCCCCTGTCTGTCCTTGTACCGGGCGGGCTACCGACGGCAGAAACACATTTTGAAGTGGAACCCCAGTGCCGCGATCTGAAACCCCCGAATTAAAACACCATTTACAGGCAGCTTCCAAGTTTTTCCGGAGCTCAAGGGGACTGAGTCGTTCTTTATACGCAGCCAATTGCCTGCTCTGATTAGGGGTAAGAGTCGTGCAACTATGCAATATGGCATGTTTTGTGCAGCTTAGTGAGCAGCACGACGTCAACTGATGCAGTGTAAGACGCCTGCAGAAAGGACTCGAATAAGTTCCAGAAGAGCCTCAAGATTCAGCAAAAATGTTCACATGCGCTTTTCATGTCAAACGTAGTTGCTTGGTCTGATAATTCATCAACTCTAAACGTAATTGTCTATGCTAAAATTCATGGTTATCTGGCGGATGCTGCGTTGCCCACATCTCCGTCGGTCTGGGTGCTGCATTCACCTGAACCATAACACCTCCCTGAACGGTTGTCATCTTGACTAGCCCGTTCTATGTGGAACGCCATCACCTATGGCGACGTCTTGATAATCAGAGTGGCGAACTTGGGCAATCTCTCCTCTATCCCCAGGCCGTCCGTCAGATTCCAGACTCAGATGCGTCTGGCCAGGCTGGGCATCCACAGTTGAGCTAACGTTTCACGTGAACCAGTTGGCGAGAAGAGAAAAAATAGCTGCAACCAGTTTCAAGACTGATGTTCGGACCTCCTACAATCCGGGACAATGGGCATGCCTATCAGGTGCTCCTCATCCCACGTGCTGGCATGGCGACATCAAGCAAGACATCGACGCCATTTGCCAGTGTCATTGGCATGTTCATCCAACCTCCATGTCGATTGCAAATTCTCCACGCCATTAATGATACACTAACCTCACAGTTGCGATGAGAAAGTGTTTACAGATAACGCGAGGAATTGTGTCTCTCATGTCCACAAAGCAAATGGAGACCTGGGGCGCTTTCTGCACGAAAAGCAATGGTATTGATCAATCTGTTCTGCCGGTCCCAAGTCTATGATGAATTACACAAAAGAAATCCCTGGTCTCATCTTCTCTCTGGCTTTCTCGTTGCTTTGCTGCACCATACAGGATCTAACAACCCCCTACACCTCCCTCTTGCGGTCAGGAATGATAGCCTTGGCACTCTGTGGAGGACTGAACTTCTGAGGTTGCAGGTTCGTGTACTTCCGGTAAACCTCAGGATCCCTCACCACATCGGCTAAAACATCAAGAAACTTCTGCAACTCCGGTACCTCGACATAGTTGCTGCAGTCTCTCTCATCCTGCCGCGCCGCATCCACAGCTGGAGTCCATTTCACCATCGCCTGCTGGTCATTCACAATCTCGCGGACAAGTTTCCTGCTCAGTCTCTCGATACGCTTGATCCGACAAATCTTGCAGCAGCTCGGATTCGCACCGCCCTCGGGTATCGTGAGAGGAACCTTGCTCATTTCGTCCATGTTTCTAGGCATCGGATGCCCAACCCTTCCCGGAGCTAGACAGCTCTGGCCACAATTCGGGTACTTTCCAAGAGGCTCCTTGCAAATGGGACACTGTGGCTTGCGTCCATTTGGATTGCTGCGGCGGCCATCGACGTTGGCACAGATACGGATGCAACACTCCATGCACAACATATGTCCACAGTGCAAGATCTTGGCCAGGTTCCGGCTGGTGCTCTCAACAGCCCTCATTGACGTCGCGCAGACGGGGCAGACCACTGTGAAGTTGTCGAGTGCCGCGTCCGAGATGAGGTCCTGTCGGAGTTCAGGCCAGAACACATTCCCCTCAGGTCCGGCATTTACCGTCGAGGCGGATTCCCGCCTTGCTGGACTCCTTGAACCCATTCCGCCAAATGACCGTACGGTCCCGCTAGAGATGAGTTAGCCTGGTCCTGCAAAGCAGACATTGGACGTACCTGTAGAAGATGACTGACGACTGCTGCCCGACGCAACAGAACCGGATCGACTGTGTGAAGATCGCCTAGAACTACCAGACCTGTGAGAACTTGACGAATGTCCCGATGCGACGGAACCCCCGGCGGTAGAACCCCCAGCGACAGACCCGGCGACAGAACCCCTAGGGCGTGATCCGGCCATTGAGATTGAATCATCTTCAATGACTGTCCGTCCACCATCCCAGAGCGAGCCTGCAACGGACTCTGGTCCCCGGAGCATAGAGGGTGCGATCGATGGTGCTGCGGATCCAGCAACAGAGCCCGCGACGGAGCCCCGACATGATCCGGCTCTGGAGCCGCCGGACCTGGAGCCGCCTGACCTGGACCCTCCGGACCTGGAAGGAGAATACCGGACTGTGGAAGGAGCGACGGAGCTGGAGCCCATGACAGACCCATATTGTGATCCAGCGATAGATCCATACTGCGATCCGGCGACAGAGCCATACTGCGATCCGGCGGCAGACCCATACTGTGATGCAGTACCAGAACCATACTGTGATGCAGTACCAGAACCATAATACGGTGTGGCAGTAGGGATTCGATCACGGGGATATCCGTCTCGGTCGAGGTGCTTTACCTCGAAAGGAGGCACTCCAGGAACCCCTGGATGTATATAGACACCACCTGAACTTGGTTGTGACATCATGTACGCATCGTAAGCGCGTTCCTCCTCTGTACTACTTTGATCGCTACAGACAGTCATGGTACTCGGGCCGTTGACGTAGATAACATCTGATCGACTAGAAGTTGTCGACCGAGGACCCTGAGTAGCCCCGCTGGAAGATTGGGCGTGTTCGAGATTGAGGGCGCCGAGCGCGGCAGCAAACTGGTCAATGGACAATCCAGCGATGGATTGAGACGATCCAGGGCGGTTGCTTGAGCCGCTGTGTCCACTGTATCCGGAGTATCCTGTTGTGCCGGACGCAACTGAGGTGGGTGCTCGGTGAGAGTGAGATGAGCTTGGGCGTTGGGTGCTTGCTGAGCTGTAATGAGAGCCAATACCAGATGCGACGGATGGTGCCCGCTGAGTGCTGGCTGAGCTGTAATGAGAGCCAGCCCCAGATGCTATAGACGGAGCTCGATGAGAGTGGGACGAGCTGGGCCGCAAAGTGCTCGCAGAGCTGTAATGAGAGCCAGCACCAGATGCAACAGATGGTGCTCCTGAGGCTGAGCTGTAATGCGAGCTGTACGCAGACGCGACGGATGGTGCTCGATTCGAGCGTGAAGAGCTGGACCGTTGAGTGCTGGCTGAGCTATACTGAGAGCCACGGCCAGATGCTACCGACGGCGCACGATTCGAGTGAGACGAACCTGGGCGTTGCGTGCTTGCTGAGCTGTAATGAGAGCTGTGACCAGATGCCACTGACGGCGTTCCCGACGCCGAGCTGTAATGCGAGCTGTATCCGGACACGACTGAGGGCGCTCCGGCGGCAGACGGAGAGTATCCACCATGATTGGATCCATGGCCGGATGCGACGGACGGGGCTCCTGATGTCGAGCTGTAATGCGAGCTGTATCCGGACACGACTGAGGGCGCTCCGGCGGCAGACGGAGAGTATCCACCATGATTGGATCCATGGCCGGATGCGACGGACGGGGCTCCTGATGTCGAGCTGTAATGAGAGCTGTATCCTGATGCAACAGACGCCGGGGCCGGAACACGTTGAGAAGCGCTACTGTAATGAGAGCTGGAGCCCGATGCAACCGAAGCAGGTGGCGGAACAGACCCAGGAGGGTTCGAAGGAATAGCTCCGGTGTTCCCCGGCAAGGGTTTCCAACCCGGAGGAAAGACACCTCCCGGGCAGAGGTGTTGATATTTCAGTGCAGTTGCCTCTGGCAAGGGTCGCGGGTCTTGGGGGCAGCCGGGATACCATCCAGGGGGTTGGGAAGCCATACTGGGAAGGGGAACTTACTGTGATTTCGTTGAGAAGGTCGATCTGAATTATGGTTTGATACTCTGGCTGTGTCTTGAGTCGGCGAATTCGATGTTTTGTAGTTGAGTGACGAGTTGTTAACTGAAGTCTCAGCCTAGAATTGCCTTGCTTTAATATTCTCTCGGAGTCGGGAAGGCTCACCTTTGTGCCAGCTGTTGCCTCGATAAGTTTGACTCCCTTCATTTTCCATTACACTCGACTTCTTTGTTGTTACTGACATTCTCGTCTTCCTTTTCCTGGAATAACAATCTTCAATGCAATGCATCCAGGTTACAGCCCACAATAGAACATGTTGTCCTTTGGTAGAAATTGCCCGACCGAAGCCAGGCGGCATCTATCATAATTGCACAGAAACCCATCTGCTTCCGGAACGAGTCCCATTCCTTTTTCCAGGTTGTTTACCTCTCCCTCGTTTTTTTCTTTCAGCCTCGGATGACAGAAGATGCGCAGTGAAACTCCCTTAGTACCGGGCCGCAAATCTTTGAGATTGGAAGCTGAGGTGGTCTCACAAGCCCGGAAGCCTCCAGGGCCCTTCATGGCATCTGCGCCCACTTGATTCTCATCTCTCAAACTATTCCAAGCTGTTGACTACTACCTACCAGGCACATCTTTCTTCGGAATACATCGTGGGTTCCAGAGACCCATCATGATGCTGTTTTTCGGGGCGGTCCCCCATTTTGCCAAGGGTTGGGGCGAGAACAGGCGGGTCTTGCCACCAAACCTTGGAAGGCCGTTCCAAGACATTGGCGCACACTCGCCGGAGTTTCGTCTTCTCAGAAACGCACCAAAACAATAGGAAACCGGATGCCAAATCCCTTGGCCGTACCACAAAACCCCAACTTTCAGGTTTCCTAAGAAAGAAGCCGGCTAAGGCACGGCGAAGCGTCTGGGCAAACAGACAGCCATGCTCTACTAGTAATCTTCGCCCGGAGCCGAAACACAAAGGTGCATTCCCCAACTGTGGAACCCGCCCAGCCGCCAGCGCGGTGGACTTTCAGCGGGAATTATGTTATGAAAACTCAAAACCCAGCACAGGTGCCGTCATCGAGTTCCCGTTTCAGTTCAGCCCTATGGCGAAATACAGTCCATTGACGTCAACATGGAATTCCGAAGGGCCGGCTTCGCTCTTGGATGGCTCATTTATGGTCACTTGGCTCTTGGGGTTTTCGCAGGGGCAACGCGTCACTAAAGAGGAATGCAGATCATCTTGGAGGGAGCTCGAGTTTTTAAGTAATGGGACTCACCTGTGCCTGTCAATCGACAGCGCTCCCCCGCAACCTTCTCCTGCTGCCACCCTACCAAACCTCACAATCAGGTCACCTTTAGTAACCGAGTCCTTGTTCGCCCTACGTTAGTGCAGACAAAGAAAAACTCCGATTGCGTCCAGCGATATCCAATATGCCACAGGTTCAGAAATACCCTGGCCCCGACGCACCTCTTGTGCGAATGATTGTCTTGGAAACAGACACCCCGCATCCGGACACCCATGCAACCAAGGGCAGCTTCGGCGACATCTTGCATAGTCACTTCCAGAATGCCGGAGCCGACCACGACCCTCCACTCGGCGTCGACACCGATCAGAGATTCGTGGTGGAAGAAAAAGGGGGCAAAGTCCCTGCATTTGAGGAGTTTGATGACTATCAGGGAGTCTTGATCACCGGAAGCATGTATGATGCACACGGAGATAACCCCTGGATTCTAAAGTTGCTCGACGTCCTGAAAGGTGTGTATCCCGCAAAGCCAGGAGTCTCAATGAACAACCACTGATCTTAATTCGCAGAACTATGGCAACGGAGACCTGACTTGCATCTGAGCGGTGTCTGCTTTGGCCACCAGCTGCTCAATCGCATGCTTGGTGCTGAGGTTGCGCCAGCGCCGTCTCGCGACTGGGAGCTTGGACACTCAAGGATCAACCTTTCACCAGTCGGAAAGCTTCTCTTCCGTACTGATGACGACAACGTGTACCTCCATCAAATGCACCAGGATCAAGTTGTAGCGCCGCCGTCTCCCGAGTCTTCCAAAGGCTTGCTGAAGCCCGGTACAAGGGTGGATATTTGGGGGCATAGCAGCCACACCAAGGTGCAAGGTATTTACATTCAAGGGCGGCTATTTACAACACAAGCACACTTGGCTTTTGATGAAGACATGGTCAAGAGGCAAATCCAGATGAGAGTTGAGAGCGGCGGTATTCAGGACTTGGAGCATGCGGACCGAGCCGCGGAGACGGCTCATCTGGAACATGACGGGGACTTGATTGCTGCCGCGATTTTGAGATTCTTCCATGGTGATGATGATAGCATTGAATAAGTTTCAAATCATGACTATGAATATTATTCACAGTTTGGCAACAGCTATTACCCACGAAGCCGCCTAGTTTTCCTGCGCTAAAGCCATTTTTCCTGTGGTATTTATCGTCGTCGCTATTATCGTCGTTATCGCTACTTTCATAGTTATGACTATCGCTATCCTCGTCGTCGTCGTCACTGTTGTCGTGATTGTCGTCGTCGTCGTCGTTTTTACTCCTACTTTTATTACTTGTCCTTCCGTGGTTAAATAGGAGAGATTAACTCTGCAAAGAATGAAGCCGTGTATACACAGGAAATTAGGGGGTCTCTTTCCCATGGGCTCATGTTGATCATTAATGCCGTGCTATATAATAAATGGGAATGAAGAGACAGCGCACGCCCCAGTAAAAGCAGTCGTTTCTACACCAACTAGTATGCGAATCCAGAACCCTCTGTCTACCAACCGAATGCCAAGGTCCCACGTTTTGTGTCCTTGCACTTCAGTCTCCGTCAGGCGAAGCCTTAGTTCTCGACGACGATCCGTCATGTGAATGTATTTGTCTACGCAGTGTCTCTCAGGAGCCACTACGGTCCTCAGTGCGTTAGTGATGGCACCCGAGTCGTTTTGCAGCTCCGAGGGCTGTAGCCTGACCGCATCGAACTTGAGATCTCTCTCCTTGAAGACCCAAAATGTGACTAAGACGATGTCACCTTCAGATCTCCCTTTCAGTAGCAAAGTCCACCGCCGATGTCTCTGCAGTTGAAGAAACAGCGCCGAGTTGAGTGCCCGTCCCTCGCGGTACTCGTGTTGGTAGCTGTAACATCTCAACGGGCCCCCTTCCTCTTCGGCCGTAAAAATGCCTGCAAGATAGTATCCTATCGGCGTCGTGTTTCGCCGTGGGTTGAGGCTTGTAGCACCCACGTGCAGTGTTTCTATGTCGCTGAGCCCTGGAGGTCGAGCCCCCCATGGATTGTCATAATATCCGATCCTTAGATCTGATGATGTGCGGATACCGCAGATCGCCATACGTCGACCCCCTGGGATCGTTATATCCGCAAGTTCTGATGGCCGTGCTCGGGCATATCTGTTGCCATCCTGGAGGTCCAAGTAGATCCCCACCACGCGTTGCGGATCGCCGCCTACACTGCAGTTCAAGGGAAGAATTATTGACGACGCGTTCGATCGGAAGAGCAATATGTCCAGAATGCCTCGCCGCCCGAGAGCTTTCGTCTTGGACGTGAAGTGGATCCCGCGTTTTGACACCCCCACGGGGCTTCGCGGCCAAATTTGGACAATGTTATCGTTGTGTGGATTGGGCCAGTCTCTGAAGTTGGAAAACTCATCCGGGGACTGCGCCAAAAGGCCACGAAGAGGTTCATCCGGCCCAGATGGTGACGTTGCGCGCCACGCAAAGAGTGTGTGATCGTCAGACTGTTGCAAAATCTGCTCTTGCAAACGCGCGAATGCGTCCGTTCCTTCTCCGTATAGCAGAGGCATATTCACGTCGAAAATACCAAGAAGTGAGTAGGCGATATCCTCAACTCGGGTTGTTTTCCTTCCTGCCGCCCAACTCATCCGTCGACCCAAGCTTGCTCTTTGGGGCGATCCTCCCCTCAAAACGAACTCATCAATGCCAGTGATCCTTTCCAAATCACTGACGATAGAGCTTTTCTCTGCAAGCTTTTGCCACTTGGCGTTGTAAAATTCGACCTGTCTCGGAGCGATGAGCTCTTGCAACGTCCATCCTCTATTGAACCACCGGCTCTTCGCAAATGGCGACGAATATGCCTGATTGCAATGTATTCTGTCTTCATTTACGTCCTCTAAGTGAGCGTAACACACTGCAGAGTCTTGATACCACCGGTACATAGAGTTGATGGCTTCGCCTAGTTCGGCGCTGCTGGTCTTGTCGATACAACAGGAATCTACCCATGCGTACTCGAGACCATCGCGCTTGGCCTGGCGACATGTAGCTTCGATTTTGTGGAAAGCCTGCTTTGACTGAAGTTTGGCACCTCCAACTTGAAGATCCTGGAGGGTGATCTCGTTTGTGCCCCATGTATGCGACAATATCGCGTAATTGGGAATGCGCCCGATGAACTCCTTGAGTTGCATCGTGGGTGTGTGAATCAGACGCATCATTTTGTGGCATGGGTGGGCGGCGATGACTGCAGTAAGGACTTTGATTCAAGTTCATGGTGAATTAACCCAAAGCAAAAACACTGTGTGTCCCGTAAGATGTCGTCAATGAAGTTCTTATGATTGTTGCTTACGGAACCAGATGATCACCTCGTCGAGGGCTGGTCAGCTCACCCAGGATAGGAATAGGGTCAGAGAGGCCTACGCGAGCCAATCAAAGAGCTCAATCGACACCAAATCGCCAAATTGATTACTTCATCCTTGGTTGTAGCCGTTGTGCTTGTGTTGCAAAACAAATTGCTGCTTTGTTCCAATCGCTCGAAGCTTTAGATCATCGATGTATTTCAATCAGTGTCTCTAAGGTAAGTCTAGAGAAATGGGTGTCTTCTGTTCTTTCAAAGGCCGGACTGGATTCCAAACACCCGACGGCCAGGGTCGTGGGACCCTGATGGCCAGTGATAGTTGCCTAACATATGTTGACCAAGCTGGTGCGTGATGATGTTAGGCCAATATGACATGGATGATGTGTATCAAAAGTGGAGATCTTGGCATCCCTCTGGGAGTCCTTGAGTCGTACTCAATTTTTCACCGTCTCAACCTCATGCCCCAGGGATTGCTATTAGCATCCGCCACCCGAAACGCCGTGATTTCGTAGCCAATGGCATAGCTCCTGTTGACCATGAGCTTTCCGATCTTGGACCTTCCCACCGAGATCATTCAATTGATCTTGCGTCATGCCTGTCTCTCACGTGGTCTGCAGCGAGGGCTACGCCTGAAGCTCGTATGCAGTACGTTATCTCTCACACATCGCCTTCGATAAATCCTGCATCATAGGTACCGTTGGCGTTCAACACAGTTTTCTGACCTGTACCAGGACTCTTCAAAGATCTCATCGGCGCCTCCATCGTAGAGGGGCTCCTGTTGGCTCAAAAAGAGTATGGTTTCTTGTATTGGAGGCGGCTTCCTGAATCGCTAAAAGGTAGACCTCCCTTGCTATGCCATTGGCGGGTGCAGGAGAATTACGGGACAGAGAACCTATGGCACGCATATTGCGTCCAAAGAACCCGAGTTGAGACAGACCCGTTGAACCCTTTTACGCGCTTGAGACAACTAGCGGAGGACTGGTGCAAAGAGACTGGAGCCGACATTGAAAGTACTATCTCAGAACTTTGCTGGTTGACTTTGTCCGAGTTTCATGGCGGGATCGCCTTCCCGTCAATGGGCACGAAAACTGAGGCATCTCAAGGATTACTTGTTCTTGCAGTCCATTTCAACAACCAGTCTCTTGTCAAGACCCTTTTACAAGACCATAAGTGGCCCTTTAAGTATCCTTTTGGCAAGACCGATCTACTGCCTTCTCCATGGCAAGTTGCCGTTGAAGCTGGGAATCTTGAGGTCGTTAAGCTATTACTTGAAGCTATGACCGATGAAACAGTACTCCCTCCTCACATGTAAGTAGCGAAGACGCCTTTTACACGGGGTCGGCTGCCAACAAATGGGGTTTACGTCTATTGTTCACATTGCTAACCAAAATTATTCGATACCCAGACGAGATCGAGCCGAGTCACCTTTAACACGGGCATTTACAGAACGTTGTGCTGTTCATGCTGCAGCACATGGCGGAAACATCGACGTTGCCCAGGAGGTCTTGACCCAATTACGTGACTGCACCTTTATCGTCGCGCCAATGGAAACGTTGATTCCTGTGCGATACACCTCAGAAGAACACAAGTACAAATTCGCGACACGGAACTGGGAGGTCCACAAGTATGTCTGCGACTGGGTTGAGGCCACTGTTTTCGACTATCGCTTTGTGGTTCTTCATTGCTGGCTGGGAAACGTGGAAATGGTGCGGAATCTTCTCGATGCAGGGGCCGACGTCGACGGGTCTGTTTGGGACAAGCAAGTTCCTCTGGCAGTGGCAGCCCGAGCTTGCCATTTAGAGGTGGTTAAACTTCTCCTTGAACGGGGCGCGAACCCCAGCAGTAGCGAGTACATGCTGGGCTACCCGCTGATGGCAGCTGCAGCTGGCGGCAGTTTGGCCATTGTGAGAATGCTGCTGGATCACGGGGCTATTGCCGACCTCAGGGAGTGTTCGACCTTGAGGTATGCTGTGATGAACGAACATACAGCCATGGTCAAGTTGTTGTTTGAGAGATTCGCTCCGGTGGAGCCTGACACAATCACTATGGCTTTTCAATCTGCGAGAGAGAATGGTTTAGAGAGTATGATAGACCTTTTAAGGGATTTAGAACCGAGACTCGTTTGACAGCAAAGAGGTTCGACATCCATGTTATGATGGATAGATGATATCTTATCGTCGCAGAAAAAGAGACAACACAACATCTGGGTAGATATAGAAATTTCGGGACTGATCCGTACAATAATGAACCCATTTTCAGGGCGTTGGCTACATTTATGGACGTATCTGGGCTACACATGACAAGGACATCTCGGGATAGCCCCGCTTTGTACCAGCGGGAGAGCTTCCGACCATTGATATGGAGGGGCTGGTCGCACAAGGGGGTATGGATGTCGGAATGTCATCAGATAACCCGGTAAAATGAAGGACAAGCCGATGATACGTTGCTCTCTTCATGTCAACCGCTTGCAGACTTCTTTGGGACTAAATCACCCACATGATGAGGTAGCTTGGCGGAATCCTCGTCCTCTGTCTAGGGCTGTTGGCCTCGAAGCCCTCTTCAGTGGCCGCGAACCTTGCCGAAGCAGGGTTGGTCGGACATTATGTACTGCTATCACTACATACGTCGCCCCTTGTACCAACAGTCCTCGGTTGGGATTAGAGGACAAAATTAGGTGCGGTCATTGCCAATCATAAGGCCCACTGAGATCGGTTAAGTTCCCTGGGGAAATTACAACGGCGACATCTTCAACCAGGGCTCTCCGCCCTGTAGGATTCCACAGACAAGTCTTTTAGACGGGGCTTCAATCAGGGATTCCAGTAGATATCCTGGCCCAAGCCCAAGCACAAAATCCATCCGCTTTTCCGGCTCGAATCCCCGGGAGACAACTTGGCAAAGGCATCGGAGAACTGGCCTCGCTTGTGTTTTCGGGCCTGATCCACGATGATTTCGGTCCACGCGAGAATGAGACTCGACTCCGACTTTGCCACGCTGGCGCAGCGATCGCTCCGGACGTTGTTGGCTGTGCCGTCTCTGCTAATAGTGCTAGATGCGAGTGGACCAATGAGACGGCTTACTTGCCGGGATTCTTTTCCGGAAATGTCAAACGATGCAGTAATGCGAAGTAAAGGCTGGGATGTGCAGCAATTAGCCGGCATCGGATATGAACCAAGGAGGCCGTGGCGCAACAAAAGCTGCAGAGAACATGGAAGAACAGGCACGCGTACGGCATTGTCGCTAGAACAGCCGGAGTGTGGCTCATTCTTGACGAACTTTCCTCCCACTCAAGGTCAACCAAGAAATCGGCATAGTGCTGAAATTTGAGGGGTTAAAATGTAGGAGAAATTTGAGGGGTTCGCAAAAAATTAGTTTCCGGGACCATCCTTTTGGCTACTGGAGAACATGATAGTCGTGACAGTTGTCTTCTTGATCCCCTGCCTCTCAGCCCCAGGGCCGTCCCGCAGTCCTGCCTTGTACAAACTCTCGTCGCTATTGTCTGCTCCACCTCCCGCCATAACTGTGGTCGATTCAACTGGCCGTGAGGCATATGTTCCCATCTCGTAGTCATCCCCTGTTCTTTCTTTGCGCGGCCTCGGAGCCCTGCCCCCCTCGCCTGTTCCCACGGGCCATTGAGAATTTGACAGTGTTTGCCAGTTGCTATTACCACTCCGAAGCGTCCCACGACCGTAGTAAGTGTTGCCTGTCGGTGCCTTGGACCCTTTTCCGTAGATGCTTCCCAGGAAATCCTTGAACAAAGGCCGGAGCGTGGGTAAGCTGCCAGCGATGATTCCGACCTTTGCTTCAATAACCGTCCACATTTGGATATTTCGTGAGTCCCATAAGGGATCAAATGTTTTCCCATACGCCGTGACCACATAGTAGACCTTTACACAGGCTGCTGCGCATGCAAACACACCGAGGCCTAGGATGATCATGAGAGATATTCGAACACGGGTGGGGACATTGAGAGTCCATAGCATTGGGGCAGGGATCGCGATGCCGAATAGAAGGTCGGTGAGAATATTGACGGAGGAGTTGGCATATGCAAGGCTTTTGATCGTTTCGATGTCCCAGCACGTCGAGTCCACGTTGAAGTCCCAAAAGATTCGAACATCGGTGCATTGAAATACGATTGTCTGCATGTGAGGAAAATCTAAGTTAGCAGGATGGTTCATGGTGATCGGGGATTTGGCTTCTAAATTGGGTCTTACAAAAATGCAGGCAATGGTGTATGCGGTCATGAAAACCATGATGCCAATGATCATACTCTTGTAGAGCTTCTTCGATGCAATGCGCAGCAAGGAAGATCCTACAGCGAGCTTGACAAGACACAGAGCCGATAGAAAGAGCGGCTGAGAGGCGAAGGACATCTTCATAGCGATGGGGTAATCAACCGCAAGGTCAACATCTCCGGTATGACGACCAACTCCATGCCGAACCTGGGTGATAAGAACGCCTTCGCCAGCGATGGCAATAGCCATCGCAAGTGTCATGAAACCGTCCTGGATTTGGGTACAATGTCAGAGATACCGAGTTGGTAAGATGCAGGAAGAGGCGCAAACAGACATCAATACCAAAGCTGTGAATCATACCAAGACGCACGTACAAGCGTGCCCCCACCGTAAGAAGAGCCACACATGTTACCGTCAGCGTCGCTGCTAGGACCGTAGGGCCCTCATTGTCAGCAGGATTGGAAACAAATTCCATCTTGCACAGTTTGTCAAAGAAATCATCACACGAGAGAAGAAGAGATGTTTTCGCCCCAAAAGTCTAAAGAGTCGACGAGAGGTAAAAACACTGAATAGTCTTTCAACCAATCCCCCAATTTCGCCACCACAATTAGCCTGCAGCAAGTCACATAGAGACGCCGTTGCTCGCTCCTGGATCGAGAGTCAATTGGACAGCATCACATGAAAAGCGCTTCATCCTCATGAAACTTGTTATCAGGCCATTACGTACAGCAACGTCCAAGTCCTTGACCACCTGTTTCTAGGCGATAATCATCTCGTTGACGAACCGAGAAGATGAAGCGCCTGAACTGGACTGGATGCGCCGTACCTGCCATGTCCCCCGGTGCCACTGTCGCAAGCCGGTTGGTGGCATTTCCCTTGGCAAAATGTGTCAAATTTACGATACCGGGATTGTCAAGACGCAGGGGCTCTGCAGATTCCATGATGGCACGATATTCTCTTGGTTTCTGGTTGGTCGTTGAATCAAGGTATGACTAGATCCTGGGGTTCTTTTATGCTTCGTGTCCCGCGTTAAACATAGCCGAGCATCGGACACACCTCCCCAACGGGCAAGAGGTCATGACAAGGGAATCTATTTACCGGGTCGCCAAAGGGTCCGGACCGTGTGCCGGTCGAGTAATCCCGGCATAAGTCTGCATGACGAATTGACTACGCCGCCGCCCCTTCCGCAGCCCTGGTCTCGGAGGAGAAAGCCAAGCATTGACAACGGTTTCCGCCTCCAACTTCCCCTGCACTGGTGGGTGCGTTTTCTGCGTTTTTAGTGCTGACTTGTTGACAAGATTGGCTGTGGGATGGATCTTTCGTAAAAGCCCTGCAGATATGGAGTTCTCGTTGTTGGTTGGTGGCAATGCTCAAGACTCGTCTTTTACCCGACATGGTCCACCGAAATTTCGCAAGGATCTCCAACGCTTTGAGAAAGTGTCCGGCATGATTGATACGCCCGACTACAGTATTCGATGAGTAACTTGGTGATGGACCGATATAGAATTTTCCCTGAAATAATAGAGATGCCAGTCTATGGGAAGTCCATATATCTGGCACCAAGCTAGTCGTCCCTTCTGCAGAGAGCTTTCTCCTGCACTCAGCCAGGTTCTCTCCATCTGGGTCGTCCCGATTTCTCATTGGCTCAGGCTTCCAGTTACTTCGTAAACATGCACGTCCTAACTCTCGGCATCTTTGCCTTACAGACGGCTTCTGTTGCTTTGGCCAACCCGTTGCCTCAAGCGGACGCAGGAGCCATTACCGCTGCTGAAGGCATCGAGGAACTAGCCGCTCTCGCTCAGTCTGCCTATGCGAAGTCTGAGGAGCTTCTCAACAGCGGAGAGCTGCAGAAGCGAGGGAGCACTTGCACGCCAAGCAACATCAAGATCCGCAAGGAGTGGTATGAATTCACGTCATAATTGTCGGCCAATTTGAGCTAATCATTCATAGGGGCTCCTTGGGTAAGCAGGAACGACTTGATTACCTGAAGGCTGTCAAGTGTTTCACATCCAAGCCTGCAAGAACTCCGTCTGAGATTGTCCCCGGTGCTAAGACGCGATTCGATGACTTCGTCGCCACGCACATCAATCAGACGTTCTCAATCCATCTGACTGGAACCTTCCTATCGTGGCACAGGCAGTTCACTTGGCTGTATGAGGAGGCTTTGAGAGAGGAGTGCGGCTACACTGGCACTCAACCGGTAAGAGGAATGTCAGAGCCGGACGACAGGTACTGACATTGATGGCAGTACTGGGACTGGACAAAGTCTGCAATTACGGGCCTCAACACTTCTCCAGTCTTCGACGGAAGTGATACGTCAATTTCCGGTGACGGAGAGTTTGTCGAAGGCAAGGGTGATTTGATTCTTACCGATGGCGATGGAAACGAGGTTGTTCGCCTTCCTTCCGGAACAGGTGGCGGTTGCGTAAAGTCCGGACCGTTCAAGGACTTATCGGTCAACCTCGGCCCCGTCGCCCTGGCGCTTCCAGGCGGAGGCAGCGAGTCGAACCCAGATGGAATCTTTGCCTATAACCCAAGGTGTCTCAAGCGCGACCTTACCACTGAGATCAACCGTCGCTTCTGCAATGCTTCGGCTGTCATTCACAACATCGTCGTCCCCAAAGACATCTCGACCTTCCAGTATGAGATGCAGGGCTTCACTGAGACATCAGTTACCATGTTAGGTATCCATGGAGGCGGACACTACAGTTTTGGCGGTACGTGATTTCTATACTCCAATCTTCGTTGTTCCCAGCTAACCGATGTTCAGGCGATCCGGCTCGCGACTTCTTCACCAGTCCGGGAGACCCAGTCTTTTACCTTCACCATGCCATGATCGACCGCGTATGGTGGATGTGGCAGATGCTGTCTCCACACGACCGCCAGTTTACCGAGAACGCGATTTCCGGCACAAACACGTTCTTGAACACGCCTCCCAGCGCTAACACTACTTTTGAGGACATTCTGGACTATGGCTTCGCATCCGACTCTCGCATTACTGTTGGAGATGCGCTCAGCACAATCTCTGGACCTTACTGTTATGTCTACCTGTGAAGCCTCTGTATAAGTTGGATCTGAACGGAGGCCAGTTGCAAAAGGTAGAATCGCTACTTAATACCATCTAATAATGAACCATTTGCTTCCGAGTCGTGACGGCGAGAGGAGGCGGCCAAGTAGGGCTGCCCCGGCCCCACCCGGAGCCGCTGACCATTAATGCCGATGATTAAGTGGCTTCCTTGCTGGTGGTAGTAGGAGCTCAGCAAGGCTTGATCGGTCAGATTTACATAAAAGTCGCAGCTTCAAATACTCAAAAGGCTGCAATGAGATACGTTGAGCCTCAGTGTGTACTTAGGAAGATCGCATCCCATCCGGTAGCGACAGGGAATGCATTCATGCGGCAGTTGTCGTGGCTGTGCCACGTATTGTTCATGACAGTAGCTGATACGCTGTGAATGGTCGCTGTGGATAGAAACTATGGAACCTTTTTAACGGGATCAGCGCTGATTTGCGGTCTTACGCGAGGTGCCATCTTCGTCATTCTTCACATACACCGCAGAAGCTGCCGTCCGCAGCCATGGACCCGGCATCGGCATTTGGTCTTGCTGCAAGTATCGTCCAGACAATCACGTTCGCCAGCGATCTCATTTCCAAGAGTCGACAACTTCACCACTCAGCCCAGCGCGGCCTTGTCGAGAATGAGGAGCTCGCGTCCATCGCTAGAACTCTTCAATCCCACAGTCGCCGCATCACCATTCAGCTGGTCGGCGCACCCATGGGGAAAGAGGATGTCGGAAAGGATCTATCTACTCTCTGCAACGGAGTACGCGATCTTTGCAAGAATTTCATTGATACAATTGAAGCACTTCAGAAACCTGAAACGGCCACGCGATGGGATAGCTTCAGGCAAGCTCTGCGAAGCGTATGGAAGGAGCAGGACATTGCCGACTTGGCGCAAAGGTTGGAGAGATATCGTCGCCAGATTGACTCGATCTTGCTTGCCAGCCTGAAAGAGCAGCTCGAAACTCTGACAAAAGACACACGCGACCGCAACCAACAGATTGAGCAGAATCTCAACAAGATCCTGGCAATCGTGGAGCCGAAGAGCAGGTGGCAGGCCGAGCTAGTCCAGACGGCCCGAGGGAGCTTGGACTCAAGGCCATCGGAAGGGCTTGCCTATCTTGATCTTGTCTCAGCCTCCCTCTCCACTGGCGCGAGGGAAGAGCGAGACAAGCTCATGCAACGTCGTACGCTTGAGTCTCTCAAATCGCGGATATCCGAGACCGTTATGAGCGTATCCCTGTCGCCCATCGAAAGACGTTTGAGTGGATATTTAGCGAGCCATCGACATCGCCAACAGAGGGAAGAAATCCTCCGTGGGACAATTTTCATGGCTGGCTGACATCGGACGAGGTCTTATACTGGGTGACTGGCAAGCCAGGCTCAGGCAAGTCGACTTTGATGAAGTTTCTGTCTGATGACGCCCGCCTCCAACCTCAGCTGGAAGGCTGGCAGAAGGACATCCCCGTTCACATTGCCAGCTTCTTCTTTTGGAACTCGGGAACAATGATGCAGATGTCTCGAGAAGGACTTCTACAGTCTCTCCTTCATCAGACTATTCGAAACTTTCCTCAAGACATTTCCAAGCTTTTCCCAGAGAGATGGGAATACCAGGAGCTGTTCGGTTACGACTCCCGCCGTTGGTCGTGGTCCGAGCTCTCTCAAGCATTCACGGAAATGCTGTCTGACAAGACCAAGGCTCTCTTCTTCATTGTAGACGGACTAGATGAGCTAGACGGAGACTGCAGTGAGATGACAAGCTACTTGTTGCGCGCGTTCTCCCAGGGACCGCACATCAAAGCGTGTGTGTCCAGCCGGCCGTGGCTGGTTTTTGAGGATAGCTTCCGGCGGAAGCCATCCCTTAAAATGGAAGATTTCACAAAGAAGGACATCACATTGTTCGCAACAGAGAAGCTTACAGAGAATACTATGTTCGCCCAACTGCAAAGGTTGGATGACAAAAGCGCTCGGGCCTTCATTGACGAAGTCTCGGGGAAAGCCTCTGGTGTCTTCTTGTGGGTTACGTTGGTGGTGAAGTCTCTTTTGGAAGGACTGCGAGATGGCGATAAAATCCAGGACCTGCGATCGCGACTAGACGACCTTCCGCCCGATCTACAGTCGCTATTCAGAAAGCTCTTGGAGGATCTCGAGCCTTCATATTTTCAGCAGTCATCAAGAATCTTCCAATCAGTTCGGGCATCCCATCTGCCAAGGGCGTCGATAGCTGTGGGAGAGTACAAGTCAATCGAGGTCAAAGGGGACGGTCACGAGGCGTGGTCGTCTCTGAGACTGCTCTCCCTTTCTTTCATCGACGAAGACCCCGAGGAGGCGCTGGGGAATGACAGTCAGGGAACAATGGGCCCCCATGAGCAGGGATATCGAGCCGAAGTAATGCGGCGACAGCTACAAAGCCGCTGCAAGGGGCTCCTTGAGGTACCGACCTTCAGCACCACAGGGCCCGAATCAAAGGTCGAGTACTTGCACCGCACAGTCAAAGACTTCCTTGAAGAGGGTGGCGGGGGTGACTTCCTGGCAACAGAGGATTCCTTTGACCCGCACGTGGTTCTCTGTGCAGCTCTCATCCGGCACGCCAAAGCTATCCGCCCGACTGAAGACGACATGGCAGGGATGGAATCTCTCGCAGACATTTTACGCGAGTTCACCACTCAGTGTCACTGGCTAGAGAGAAAAAACCGAGACGTCTACGTTCCATATCTGGAAGAAATGAACAAGGTAGCCGAGGCTATTTTGGGCGGCCCTGGCGGCGATAAACCTCCGCCGGACTCTTCGCAGACAAACTGGGTTTTCTCGTTTCCCCATTGGACTAGACGGGTAGACCCATACGTTGGGCGTAAAGCCGCACGAGTCTGGTGTCTCTTTGACTATGCTGTGGTTCGGTCTCTAACCCAATATGTTAGGCGACAGCTGGCTACAGGCTACAGACTTGAGGACAATCCGAATCACAAGTTCTTGACGGAGTATGTGTTAGAACATGGAACTCAGGCTATGGCTGAGCTGCTACACTTGGGCTTCGTCAGAACCAAGAAGATCAGGGGCGAATCGAGTGGCATGCAAAAGGACGTAGAGAAAACCAAAGGCTTAGAGCGCGAAATGGGAACGGAGCAGATGGAGGGTCGTAATCCTACGACAAAGGGGGGAAAGAATGGGCCCACGTCTCGGCTCAGCTTTCACCAAGTTGCGCAGAGATTCAGCCTCCGGACGAAGAAATAAGGCTTTAGACTCAGTGACGATACCACATTAGGCAATGCTGTGGAAGTGGAATCCAACACACATTGCAACGTCCTCAGCTGAAACCCGCCTCTGGGGCCTAGTAATCGGGCTCTTTCTCATCAATACCTTCTTGTCTGTTCTTGGCAGACGATATCGTTATTCATGTTCGTGTCTTGAGGAATTTATGACCGTTGCATCAAAGTCCGAGTATGCAGCGTGGCTCAACACAATGCAAGGGAAGCGATGATTCTTGTCTACTCTAATTGTGGGTTCCGTTCGTCCTTCATTCCGCAAGTGATAGGTCCTCGTCCGGGACCCGGCTAAGTCCGGGCCTTCGATGAAGGTTAAATGGGTTTTCTTTGTGACAACTGATACGTGCGGGGAGCCACGTGTTTGAAGGCCGAGATAGTCTAGGAAACAGTTCTCTGCTTCTATAGATCTTGGGCCGTTTCCCCGCTAGCTACCGCCAAAACCCTCCGAGCTAACTTGCTGATCTACTCATCCCACGCGCCACATACTGCTTTCTCATGACTTATGTCTCGATGGAATTCCCTCAAACAAGGGTGCAGACATGAACAGTAGTTCATCCCTTCCCACCCATGCCAATGCCTTTCGCCCAAGTAGAGAGATAGAGCGCGGCAAGGGCCATCTCGGAGTGAATGATCCCTCGAGATGGCATCATCCTGACATGATTGGTTGGGTAAATAAGGGAGTAACAAGATCCCTTCGAAATTCTGCTCAGACACCTGATAAGAGGGCTGTCGCAAAAGCACAGGCTGAGGCGGTATCCCGCCACCAATGCCCAGAGATCGCGAGCCGGCCATCGCATTCTTGAATACCATTGTCTCCCTCCTGTAGTCCTATTGCAGTAAAGTGGGTTTCCTTTGTCTGTCCCAGACATAAAACGGCGTCTACTGGTTCGCGGGCATGGCCGACTTTGACTCATATCATGTGTGTCATTGACCCGCAAGGTCTCATTACTGTTGGGAATTCAGCTATCCCTGGTCAGCTATCCCTAGTTCGTCTCATGATCTACGCGTCGCGACGTGGCTGCCACATTTGTGACATTTCCAGCTCTGCTTGGCTACTTGGCTCGGGCCGAGGGCTGAATTCGAGATTATTCGGATGATGGCTTCACTTGCTTGAACTGCAAGTACTGATCTGTATTAATGGTAGATACTCCTGAGAATCAGGTTGCTGACCAGCTACTCGTCACTCGCTTTTCTGTCAATATTTGTTATTTTCTTCCATCATCGCGATGATGTCTAGCTCCGGTCTTCATGTCCCGAGACCACTGCTCTGGGTGCAGCTTCTCCTACCGCTTCTCCTCGGCCCGAGTTTGGCACAGGCGCAAACCAACAGTCAGCAGGCTTATGCCCTACCTGGAGCTATTGCATTAGGGTGCACAAACTTGTATATGTTCAGCGAAACGACAGAGTCTGCCCTGAACACCGAGGCTATGACGCCGGCTCTCTGCCAGGAGGCGTGTTTCGTAGACAAGACCCCGAGACGCGTGTACGCTATCCTGGTCGGCGACGATTGCTTCTGCGATATCGGAAGTCCTCTGTATGCCGTCCCGACAGGCGATGAATCGGCCTGTTTTCTTGCTTGCTCGGGAGGTCCAGTCGGAGCGTCCTGCGGTGCATGGGCAGAAGACCCAACAGTTGCCATAGCCAACGTGTACAACTACCCTCTTCCTGAAACGACTTCTACTACAGACACAGCCTCCTCCACATACCTATCAACTCTTGAGATCAGCTCAGAAGAAGCCTCCTCTACTGCCACGGTATCAAGTTCAGTCGATGAGTCGAGTTCAACCACGGAGACGGCATCAATCACGATATTCAGCTCCGACACAACATCTGCTTTTAGCACAACGTCAAGCCTCAGTCCACCATCTAGCTCAACAGATGAGTCCTCTAGCTCTCTGGAGGCCAGCTCTAGCTCGAGTATCGACTCAACCGAAAGTTCGAGTGTTGCTCCAAGCTCTGATACCTCAAGCTCCGAACTCATATCCAGCACATCTGTCACTCCTAGCAGCAGCAGTACAGCCGATGAACTTTCATCCACATCAAGCCCTGTAGAGACTGGTGCTTCCAGTTCGAGCATTACTGCATCGTCAACAGACGATGTCATCAGTTCTAGCAGCATTGTAACTGAGAGTGTCACCAGCTCTACCGATAGCGATACTGGGAGCAGTAGCGATGTCATTTCAGCGTCACCAACCATCGTGTCGACAACTGATACATCCACAACACCTTTCCCGGAGTCAGATACGACAAGCAACCCCACTACCAACAGTGAAGCTAGCAGCACACAGTCTAGCAACGATGATGTTTTATCATCGTCCTCGGATCCTCTCTTCTCGACCTCCACTGCAATTGCTAGTAGCTCCACTGAGCTCCCGACTTCAACAACACAGTCTGATGACACTGATTCCGCAACACCCACAACATCCGCTGGGGCTGCAACAACTTTCAGCCCTTCTCCCAGTATGACTCCGGAATCATCATCTGATACGGATTCTTCTAGCACTAGCAGTGGTGCACCGGGCCTCACACCTAGTCCCGAGCCCTCGACCACGGCTACCACTCAGGGTCCCGACCTGTCTCTCTCTGAACAATTCCCAACACTCACCCCAAGCAGCAGCCGGAGCACATTTTCTCCGCCGTTCCCTTTCACAAACTCGTCGATCAGTTTATCTTCAACCACACAAGAGGAACCAAGTCAAACACCAGAAACGTTAGATCTGGACATCGAGGTCACACCAAGCCCCGAAACCTCGCAAACCGACGGCTCGCCCAGCATCCAAACCCCGCCAGCATTTTCCAACAGTCAAATCACACCAGGGGTTTCAGACACCCAAGGCACACCCATTGCGTCAAATAGCCAATCCACTCCAGTCGTGCCAGATAGCCAAATCACACCAGTCGTGTCGAGTACCCAAACTTCAGCAGGTGTCCCAGGCATTCAGAGCACGCCTGGCTCGTCAAGCATTAGTAGTATCTCGGCCTCAGTAAGCACAGATACTGCGTCTGCTTCAGGTTTACCGAACAGCGATGCTCTCGGGGCGTCTTTCATTAGTCCTACAACCCCGAGCTTAATTCCTTCCATATCTGCAGGAGCATCATCACCCTCGGCTCCAGACAGCGGCCCGGAAACCGGTTCGTCCACATCGTCGGAGCCTGCCTCAAGCTTGCTGAACACTGATGCACTTGGGGCGTCATTCATCAGTCCGACAGGCCCCGACCAAACCCTTTCGATCTCTGCAGGCGCATCATCTGTCCAAAACGGCGGCCCTGCAGAAAGTTCGTCGACATCGTTGGCGCCTGCCTCAAGTTTACTTAATAGCGATGCTCTTGGGGCGTCTTTCATCAGCCCGGCAGCCCCGAGCTCGACTCCTTCCATATCAGCAGGCGCACTATCGCCCTCTGTTCAAAACAGCGGCTCGGCAACAAGTCCAACGACGACCTTGGCGCCTGCCTCAGTCCCTTCAACCTTAAGTACTGTGCCAATCTTGCCCTCAACATCTGACGTTGGGTCTGCATCTTTGAATGACAACTTGGCAACGGCAACATCAACCACATCATCAGCTGCGAACACGACACTTCCTACTGCGGACGACGGCGACGGCATCGGTGATGATATCGAAGGCCCGGAACTTGACATCTACTTCAATTATCCGTTTTATTTCACAATCATCCCCTTAGGAGCGCCTGCTGCGACTGAATTGCCTCGAAAAGCCTAGTTGAAGGGCAAAGTTTGTTCTTAGTGTGCCTATAGAATTACATGTATGAATCGAATCAAGTGACCCGTTCTTCCAATGTCCCTTTCTATCCGCCATGATGACCAGCACCCATTGAAAGCCTGAAAACACCCATTGTCGTCCCTTTGTTCAAGGTAAGCATGAAGACCGTGCCTGGCAATCACTGCGGGTGCTTTTTAGTGAACCAAGCAAGCTTGTCGCGCAGGTTCTGGTTCTCCACCTGCAACTTGTTGATAGTCTCCATGAAGGCAGCGCACTGCAACTTCATTTTGTCCAGTTCATTGCGCAGAACATCCTGCTGCTCCTCCGAGGCAGCCAGCTGCGCGTGGTGGATCTCTTGCAGTTCTTGGGTTGCCTTTCGCAGGGAGGCGTCTGCGACCACTGCGGTCTCCACATCATTAATAGCGTCCTCACCCTGCGTTATGTTAGAACCTAGAACATAAAAAGTGCCAGAAGACTCACCTGGTGGAGGAAGGCGACCACCATAGGATCGGGAACATCGTTCCAAGATTTGAAGCCTGCGTAATAGGCCTCTCGGTCCTCCTTCTCCTTTGTGGCCTTTGCGGCCTTGAGGTCAGCAGTCAGCACGGCATACTCGAGGCCAGGGAAGACGTATGGCGTATCTCCCTTCAGGATGGTGTAGGTCTGTCAGGCAAGGTATGAGGTCAGCTCAAGTGGAACAAAATATCAAAGTCATACTCACAGGCTCCTTGATGTCGGCCATGTTGAAGGTCCTAATGTGTATGAGAAAGAAAGATGCAGGTTGGTATGATGGTTGTTGTGAATCTGGGTTTGTTGTTGTTGTTGGATTGAGGAAGGTTTGCTGATTAGCTTGGTATAGAGGAAACGTGCAGTTAAGAGGACGAAAAGCATGCCTTTTAAGATGCCTTAGAAGAGAAGTGAGAATCCAGTTGAGCTTTGTAGCATGTGGCTTTCGAGGTTATTTTTCGGCAGGCCCCGGTGAGGAAGGAACTGTCAACAAGGATTAGGGTCCTTTCTTTCTTGTTGTCAGTCATTTGTTTTCGACACATACAATTGCTTGTTTTTTCTCGGGCTCTCTGTGTATTGATGTTTTTAGAACAATCCTGGCAGGAACAATCACATTGAGTGTCGGTTAGTGCCTTCCTTGTCGTGAGACTTACACAATTGCCATCTGGCTGGGTTGGACACCTTATGTTGGTTTCTTTGATAGTGGCCCCTCATGCCCATCTCGCGAGCTGCTCCTGCCCTCTAAAGAGTTCCGTTCCTTCCTCTGCCTACTTATTCAGAAAAGTCTAATTTCTTACCGGACAGTAGATTACGTCATAGTCACCTCGGTTCAAGCGTATTTCACTTGTCTCCTCAGATTTATTTCTCGTATGTACATCCGACGTTCTTGGCCCGGCTCCTACCTCACTCACCACTACCCGTCAACGCATCGCCACGTCGCCCGCCTCTCTGCTTCTCATCCTTCTTCTTCATTAAAGACTTCTTCCTACCTTCAAAAGCTCCCTAATCTCATTCATTTCATACTTCAGCATTCATGTGTCGCGGTTCGTAAGAACTGCTCCTTCTAATTTTTTGTTGTCTCCTCTTTCCCATCTCCCATCTCCATCGTCTCCTTTGTTTCACCTGCCACACCAATCCAGAGGTGTGCGTTTCTTATTTCCGAACAGCATCTTCATTTCGTTTTGCCCTGATTTCGTTTGATCTTGTGGGTTGTGCGTCTCTGGGTCGCTACTCTCAGGATCTTGCCCTGGCCTACAAGTAGCCTCCCTCTCACTCTCGACAACCCCTTCCCCACCCACTGACCTACCTCACCCAAGCACCAGTCCCACAACTCCTTGCCAATATCCTCTCTTCGCCTTTTCTTTTGCTCTCACCTCTTTTACATCTTCTTCGACTGCCATCTTCTGCCTGGCGCCTTTCAATTTTCACAGCTCACATCCGCCTCCCCAGCCAGTTTCCATCCCATCGCCGCCATCGCCGCCATCGCCTGACCTTGTTCGACGTCCTTCATCTTTTCGCCGCTCACGAACTTTTAGTCGCGGGTTTTATTTTGATGTCGAATTTTCTGCATTGCGTTGGTATGTCTCAGTTTAACCTCACGCTCACCACTTATCAATGACAAAAGTTCCTTCAGGTCCCTCCCTCGTCCCCGGTCCGACGCGACTGTCGCCGCTGACATCGCCTTTTCACGCGAAACTACCTACCATGACGGCTTCGAATTCTCGAATTACTGCGGTAAGCACCACGATCATTTCATTGTGTCCCAGCACTCGTCCTTCCGTGTTTCCCCACCTGCCCATCTTGCCCGCTGGGCCCTAAGGACCTTGAGATTGTCGAGAGCTCGGATATGGAAATGCAGATTGACGCGAGCCAACTGCCATGGGTTATTTGGACAGACCGCCACCCGTTTTGGGAGGGGCAGTTACTCTCTCGCTGCAGCCGAGGACTGCTTTTGGACATGAGCGGCATTTTGGTCTCAAACTCCTCTGGGCGTCTTTCCCTCCTACTGTTGGCGCGAAGCGATTAAGTCGCATAACTCAGTCAGTCACACACGAAGACGCTCAGAGGCGGTCCAGTGGGTTCAAGCAATGACGTCGAGCCCTGCGAAGGCCGCGGGGGGAATCGGGCTCGCCGGGCATCCTTCACTCTCGTTTCCGGCTCTGCTCGTGTCCGATGCGTCGCGTGCGGGTAACCGGTAACACTCGCGGCGTCATCAGCAGCCTGCAGTTTAAAGCCAATTCTGCCGTGAGGCAGCCGCCCGGAGAAAGACTCGGCATTCTTCCTAGCAAGTCGGATGCCGGGCAGTCCTACCTCGCCAGTAGGATGTTCCCTCGGTGCGCGACGGTCTGCAGCCTCTTTGTTGAGCCGCATAGCGAAGATGCAGGCTCTGAAATGGGGAACACAACAGGGGGTGACGAGTGTGGCTTACCAGTAGGGTCTTGACTCCTTTGCTGACTGGGTGAAGAGACAGGTTCATTTCTCGCCATGAGGGCCGCTCTTGACATGACTGGCCCTCGACTACCGTTGAAAGCATCGAGGCGCAGCATGAGAGACGCAAAAAGGGCTCATTGATACACTACGAAAGGGGACATGGAAAGTTTGTTGTGGGTAGATGGTTTGGGCAAGGCTTTGCAACATGAGGTCTCTAATGGTTGCGGTATCATGGGTCATCGTTCGGCATGTTGAAAACATTTTCTCTTTGTCGAGATGGCCAAGAAGACATACTGAAAGTGTGATTTTGTGGAGCATTATGTTGGATTACGATTCATCAAGACTCCTTGATTGAAGACATCGACCCCTTCCATCTTCGCCATCCACTAAACATGTGCTCTGCGATTCCCAAGCTGATGCCATCTCTGTGAAATATGCGTCGCCTCATGCGCTGCACTGAATCCGAATTCCCTCCGCAAACTTCCCCTTCCTCGAACAACTCGTCCTAGGTGTAGGCTCAGAGCGAGATCTCTGGTTCGGTGTTGAGTTTGCAAGTGTGTCGGGAGAAAGACTGCATCGTTGTCGCGACTCGATGTACAAAGAGGTTGTCTCGTCTTGAGTGTCTGGCTGCTGGATTGTGCCAGTTTTGACTGTTTGTGCCCGAAGGCCTCGCCAGGAATTTGATAAGGTTTTGCTCAGATGCGTGGATATAGTATGTGTTGGTGCCATTGCTCTTCTGTTGATTGGGTTTGTGAGTGGTTTGGGTACGCTTGTGACGTCGCAGTCGAAGGCTCAGACCTTGGCGATATATGGTATGTGGGCATGTTCGAGGAAAGCTTCGTTGCAGGCAGCTACTCCCAAATCCTGATAGAACATACATGGCATATGTGTTCATAGCCTGAGCGTAGTCTGGGAGCAAATTCATCAATGCCCCGGAACTCGCCATAAACGGCTAAGTTACCCGCGGGTATCGCGTGGCAGCTTTGCCCAACATGGACAGTGACAGAGCGGAATCCCGCGCGCCCGTATGCACTCAGCATGAATTGCAATTATACTGAGCACCTCCTTNTGACAGCGCGGAATCCCGCGCGCCCGTATGCACTCAGCATGAATTGCAATTATACTGAGCCCCTCCTTTAGATTTTGTGCGCAGCGAGCTGTAGCTGATTCGGATTTGGCGAATCTTTGCGCTGGCCTCGCCATACTCACGTGGCAGCTCTTACCAGCTCATCTCCATCCCTGGAAGCCATGGGAGGCTTGGTCGCAGCATGTAAATCTTCTGGACACCTTAAAAATGTTGCAAGATTTGATACACACTGTACTCCAGGCGGGCATGGTCATTTCAACAGATATAGTTTCATTTACTTTATAATGTTTTACACACGCTGTCTCCTTTCCCCGAACTGACTGGCAGGGCCGATGGAAACACTTGATCCTCTGGTTCGCCTCTCTATCATGATAATATATCTGGGGTTAATTATGAGACCTTGAACATGAAGTTGGGAGTTGAATCCTCAATAACAGCTCACGTCATTGCCTCGCTGACAAACTGCTGTCCATCTCCGACCTTTACTTGTCCTCCACGTTTCTCTCCAGTTTCCTCGTCCTGTCCTTCGCTGAACGATAAGCCATCCACCACAGTCAACCCAATCTCGTGGTACGTTGGCGGCGAGAAAAGCCTTCGGCCCTCCGAGAACCATGCCACTGTCATGGCAATACCAAAGACTCCCATTATCAAGCTCGTGTAGTTCATGGTCAACGTTGTGACCGGGTGAACCTGGGGGATCTACAGAAACTTTTGTCAGTCGAACCACTTCAAATAATCGCAAAGGCTTGCCAAACTTACGAGAGCAACTATGACAACCAGAAGCGAGTATAAGGAGGAAACAACGTAGATAGGCGTTGAAAATCGGCCAAAGTTCCAGCTCTTGCTTTCTGGCAAGGTTGAGTTCTTCGTCAGCAGCATGATGAGCGCTGGGCATCCTGTTCCTCGTAAGTGTTGATTTCCAAACGGTCGGTGGTCACTCATACCGAAACTGATGATCATGCAAACCGCTTGCGAACCAATAATTGCGTTGAAGGCGGCGTTCGAGAATAAGTAACTGTGCCACAACATTAGAATTTGACTTTTGTTAACTACTCATGACTTACATCAAACCAACCAGAGCGACCAGGGCTGCGGGCACGTGGATGGACCAAACTGGAAGCTGAGTTCGGGGCGACAGTTCAGTAAGTCTGTGGATCAGTCGTCAATTTGTGTCTCAGTATTTGTATTTCGTCCAGGTAGCATCCTCTGAGTAGCAAAATGACTGACTTGTGGTTCCAAAACAGTCCTCCATCTCGGGCAAAAGCGTATCCTTGCCGGCTCATCGTCACGGCGCTTCCGAGCGCAGAGGCTCCTTGGTTGATGATGAGAATGATGCAAAACACAATCGCCGCAGCATCGCTTCCGGTACCGAGTCTAATCAGTTCGAGGATTGGAACACTGAGTTACACGTCAGTCGGAGATTTTGCAGTGATCGCAACAAGGACTTACCCAGTGGGGCTTGCGATGATGGTGGGCAGGTCGCTGATAGAGAAGCCCAGGACAAGAATCCAAACAACCCCAACGAAGAATTGTGAGATAATGACAATCAGAAGAATCCTAGGGATGACCTTTTTCGGATTCTTGACTTCTTCGGCCAAGTGCGTGGGGCAGTCGAGGCCCATCAACGTAGAGAAACTGTTGAATAAACCCAACAGAATAGCAAAGCCCGTGGAAGAATACCTATTCATCGTCAATTCTCAAAGCTCGTCGGCAGTATGTGCCAATCATGAGCCGTTGGGACTCACCCCGTATCATTGTTCGTCTGAACGAACACAGAATGTGGCGTGGCTTTTGGGGCTTTGACGAGGAGGGCAATTGTGTATGCTACAAACACGAACACTGTAGCCCAGCCTGTGTCCTTTGTTAGCACACTTGAGACCATTCCACCTCATTATTGCAACCTTATTCAGGCGACGTACATCCGACGAGCTCGAGGGTAGGAATTCCCCTTAGCCCGAATAGGTTGATCAGCCAACATCCGAACACCATTGCCAGATACACCAAGAACAACTGCCATCTTGTAGTCACGTCGAATTCGGGCCGGCATAGGTTGACCAGCGCCAGGGTCAATGTCGCGACGATGGCACAGCAAGCAGCATGCGTCAAGACCCAGCCACAGTAGTTGAGCCATCCGAGAGGATAGGCACATTGGCGGCGGTACTTCTCAGGTATCAAGAAGGTCGCATAGTGGTAGGCACCCCCTTTGATGATGTTAGTGTTATTTCATTATCGTTCGGAAGTGAGCAGCACAGGTTTACCTGCGGTAGAGTATCGAGCGGCGCACTGCGCAAAGGTAAGGATGATGCATAGTACGCAGATACTAGAACCGATACTAGTCTTCGATTAGTTCAATTGTTCTTCTAAAATAAAACCTCTTAATGAACTTACAAGCCGTAAAGAATGGCTGGAATACCTCCCGCAGAAAGCCCAACGAAGAGGATAAAGGACATGCCACCGAAGACGTTCAGAGTCAGCCATCCTATGCTGATTCCACTCCATAACCCAAAGGTATGAGGAAGATGGTCGCTAGAGGTTTCAACTTGCGACATTTTGGCTAAGGTATTTAGAGTTGCTGCAAGAACTTTCAACGGCTGTTTGTAATACTTCCTTTACAGGTTTCAATCGCACATCTGATCATCAGCAGGATTTCCAACGTCGGCGAGCATGTCTATTTGACGCTGCACAAAATTTACTCAAAAGCATCCTATCAACCCGATACTCAACTGTTGCTTGAAGACCTGTGTGGATCATTGCAGGATGCGACATGTGAAGCTAGTCGTGATAGACATTCGAGTTGGCAATCTTGTTCATTGTATTCTGCGATAGGGGCGTTTCCTCGCTGGGATAGCACTAATTTTACTGAAAGGGGATCAGGGCATCACAGGCTCCAACTCTCCAAAAGCTAGTCCGGATCAGGTTTCAGTTAGCTATCAGCAGAACGCTGTGTGCTTATCTCGTTGGTGTTATCTCCGGTAGCGGCAAACCATATGAGGCGCTTAATGCTAAATGGCTTTGCAGCCGTTCCTATTGGCCGTGTATTATGTCAATTCCAGGTTCGATGCCTCTCCACGGCCAATGTGATGTGGAAGATTACAAAGTACCCTTATCATCTGTTGGCCAGAGAATCTCCCCCCGGATGAGTTTAAGCAACCTAGTGTGTGACAAGATCGCGGGGTTGATAAGCACCCCTGTGTCAGCGGGTATCAGTAGCCCTAGCGTACTATTATGGAGCTGACGCTGCGCCAAGTGTGCCCGTATTGGATATTGTCTTATCCGCTCCTGGGAAGCTGCTTTGTTGCCGTTCTAGATGCCAACCCCAACCACCACTCTTTTCTTTGCTTCAGAAAGCTTCAGACCCAAGCTGAGCCGCCCTAACCCAGATCCCACTCAATCGCACCCTTACCAGCCATGAACGCCAGAAGATCCAGAAGCGGTTCGTCTTACCTATCAGTCGCTCCTTATCCATACCTACTAACCTTCAACAAAGGCTGCTGGACCTGCCGAAAGAGGCATCAAAAGTGCGATGAAGGGAAACCGGGGTGTTTCAACTGTCGTTTGAGAGGCGTGGAATGTGGTGGGTATGGGGTCAAACTAGAAGACTTCACCTCGCGCGGCGGGCCTCACGGACAGATGCAGATGGTGTCAAAGATAGTGAGAGGAGCACCGAACGAATCTCGTCCCAGGCAAGGCCGCAGCCGCAAACAGCCCAACAAGTTGCAACAGGCGGCAGGTGGGCCAAAGGCGCAGAATGCCACTCAAAAACCGCAGAAGAGCATCCCGGCCATCGAGCCCAGTGTCAAAGCCCCTGCTGTGGTTTGTGCTTCCCCGCCATCACCCAGCGTTGACAACTCACCCAAAGCCCTATACAACGGTGATGGCCAAGGAACACTGCGGAAGGAACAATCAGAAGCACAGAATCATTTGGAGCGGTCTTCAGATGACGAAGCCAGCATAGACCCATCTCCTGTTACATCTCGCAACCAGTCTACCGAGCAAACAGATACCACAACAGGGGACAAAGATAGATGTGTGATGGACAAGTGGTGGGATGTGTATTCTGATGCAAATTTGGCCGGGATGTCGAGTCCCGAAGATATCGAGGCAGGTTCGGCACTCTGGACCACTTTCGACGAGTCAATGTTCTCGACTATGCCGTGGGACTGTTTTCAGACAGCCGACCTGGCACAATCCACACAGAGAACAGATACAGACGGCGATGTTATATCAAATCAAGTCGGAAAGCGAGCATGCGATGACAACATCGTGGACAGAGATCGTCGGCCTGTGCGCTCGACAAGTCCACCCCTTGCCATCTTTCGGTCAAGTCAGCCTTCGGAAGTCTACCTCCTGCAACACTGTAAGATATCCCCCAATCACTTACCTTACTCAGGCATCTCTTTGATTTCAAAGTTAGATCTGACAAAGTCAAAGTTCTTGATAATCTTGCGTCACGACTTCTTCCGGTGGTGGAGCCCTACCGCAACCCATACAAGACCGTGTACGGGGCCTTGGCGAGAGGCTCTCGACCCCTCCGAAACGCGATCCTTTTCGCATCGACGCTTCACCTCACTAAGCTTGGTGACCTTCCCCACGACACGATTAAGACCTATAGAGCAGATATGAGGGACTCGTTTCGCGAGGCGCTTCAGGCAGACGAAGAAATCTGGAGCCTAGGGGCTACAGTTCTCCTGTCGATTGTCTTTGACGTAAGCTATTGTTTGGGTCTCAATATCTCATTCACTCATTTGACAACACATTCCAGGTGATTGGGACTGGGATGGATTCATGGAGTTCCAAGTTGGTGGGATGCCGTCGACTGCTGGAGCAGGGTCTGTCGAAATCAAAAGGCCAGGTCAGCTCTGAGATGAAGTGTGTGCAAATACAGTACAACTGGATGTCGACTATGGGGCGAACACTCCTCCTCGGAACCCAGCAACTCCAAATGATGGATGATCTTGCACCCCTTGAGATACCTCCAAGTAAGAATATGATGTCCCCTGCTCCATGGCCTCTCCTAACATGTCTTCTCCAGTCCAAGAACCCCGGTTCAACACTATTCCCGACCTCATGGTCCAGCAACACCACTGGTGGGCAAATATGCCAGACTACAGCATGCATATTCTGCTGCGTGAAGTCGCCGATCTCTCTATCGCCGTCCATAACATCAAGTCTCAGCCTGACAGCACTGTACAACTTCTGCAAATGATGCCCGAGGTTGCAAATTTGGTGAGAAAGATCGAAGGTTGGCAGCCAGGCGTTGCATCGGTGACTCCGGGGTACATGGATGATACTCAACACTTCCACAGCATCTGGAAACAAGGCATGCTGTGTTATGTATATCACGAGATCTATGGTCTGAGCTCCAGTAGTTCGTGGATCCAAGCATGCGTGGAAGTATCTCTGGTGGCGTTTGAGAAGCTGTCCTGGCTTCAAGCATGTCTTTGGCCGGCTTTCATGATTGCCATTCACGCACAAAAGGAAACCGCAAGAGCCACTTGTGAAAATGCCTTCAAGAAGATGCACTCCACCTTGGGATTCACCGCACCACTTTCAATAGTGTTAGTCCTTCAAAGTCTTTGGGGAACCTTCGACAGCGATGGCTCAGGCACGGCCAAGTGGAGGACCGTCATGGAAAATCTGGGGATGGAATTAAATATTCTACTTTAGTCTTATTGCCACATCATCTTCGTGTTGCAGTTAGACAAGACAATTAGCCCTTCAAGTGTATTTGGATTAAGGTTCCTTAAGACCAAAATAGGTAGGATCGTGAGTATTTCTCATGATATCAAATTCAAACTAGTCGACCTATCTTAAGTCCTGCCCAGCATCTCATATCACTTCAAGCCACAACGGTAGTCGCCAGAGGCCTGCCCTCAAAGGTGCCATACTGAAATGGATCTTCCTTGCTGCCGAGAAGTTCAATAGGATCCTTCATATCGACATGGCCACAAAACGGCTCGCTGATTGAGTATCCCAGAAGAGCCTGAACTTGGGGCTCGTATGTCTTGATAACATCGTGCTGGATGCCGACATACTGGTTCTCATCCGCGCGGTACGATCCGCGGGTCATGTGGCACGAGTAGATATTTCTTCTCTCGTTCTCGAGCTGATTGGCACCAGCGCCGTGCCAGACACTGCCGATGATGAATACAGCATCACCCTTGTCCATCTCGGCGGTGGAGCAAAGGGAGCGATCAGCAGGACCCCTTTGATCGGCTTCGGGCCACTTGTGGGAACCGACGATGATCTGAGTCGCTCCGTTCTCGTAGATGCAGCGCTTTGAGATGGTCAGTGGCGTTCCCAGAGACGGGGTGGGACCTAAGAGATTTCACTTACGGTGCCGGCAACCAAGAGACCAAGCAAACTGCTTTCGCCACTGCCCTCAATGTGGTCAAAGTGTTGGGCCATGTCGTCACGGTGAAGGGGTTGAGCGGCAGATTTGCCGCGAGAGAATGCCTCCGAAACTGCTAGAACAGGGTTCGAGACGCATTCGTATCTCTTGCCGTCACGGAATGGGCGCCTGTATGGCTCGACATTAGCTTGCGCGCAAAGTATTGAAGACGCAGTGGGACGACTTACGAAACCTCTCGGAGCAATTCCTTCGCGGTGTCGCGGTAGGTGGGGTGATTGATGCATTTGTGGGAGAAGGTCCTGGACTTGCCCGCAAAATTGCTACGGAATCAAACTCAGTAACTAGACCAAAGGTGGTCTATTCAAAGATTTGATACTGCCATACCTGAGAGGAGGGTCCGAGGGGGGGAAGAGGTGACCCTCGTACTTGAGCGTTCTTAGCTTCTCGAACCAGGGAGCAGACTCTGCATCCATTTGATCAATATCCTCTGGAGTCACAAAACCCTTGATGATGATGCCGCCATCTCGCCGGATGACACTCGCAATCTCCTCAATTGGGGCAGTAGCCGGGAGGGAGGTGATCTCCGGGTTCTTGGCTTGGTGAGGAGGGTTGGGCATGTTGAAAATGAGACTGATTTTTGTCTAAGGTAGCAATTTATGGGTTGTAATTGTGCGGCAGGTGGCAAGCTGACGATGTGGAGTTTTCACAGTTCATTTAGTACAGAGTAAGCCTCATTATTTATCGGTCTCTCAATCGCATAGATTCACGAACAACGGCCATCCTCGATTCGCACGGCTAGTCTGTCCAAACTGCGGGTCTGGCTGGGACGCCACTGGCCTGTTGCGTATTACGCGGTTGCTCTTCCCAAAGCGGCAATGCTAGGCTAGGAACCGGGTCTTGGTTAAGATAACACCGGCCCAAACAACTCCCTGGCTCTCGAGCACCAGCACTCACCTGCGAGACTAGGTGCCTCGCGAAAAACGAAATATTGATCGGAAGTATCTGAAGGCCTCGCAAGTCAGACCCATGCTTGGTATTGATAAGGCGATGTGAATCAGTAGGCCCAAGCCATGGCTCCGCGTTGTGCCCAAGAAACACTGGACGACTGCTGGACTGACATCAAGTTGCGAAGTACTGACGATAACAACTTTCCGACTGGGTCTGCCAAACAGCTTATGGACCTATATAATTATTCGTATCATGAGATCCAAATGTCCGAAACATCCGCTTGAAGCTACAGCATAACCTAAGTTCAAGCTTGCATTCTTTTCGCCATCGCTACCGCGTCTCGCTAAGCTCTTCCAAAATCACCCACATCTTGACAACATGGCTTCCGTCAAGCGTTTCTCACCCAACGCCTACGCAGGCGATGTCCTGGAGGCCATCAAGGGCGATGGCGCTGTCATCATCGAAGGCGCAGCCAGCGTCCAGACCGTCGACAAAGCCCTGTTCGAACTTGGCACCATCTCTGACAGCCGGATCTACGGTCTCGTCGGCAAGAGTTCAACTTTTACCACCGAGATGCTGATGCATCCTCTGTATATCGAGCTCACCAAACGTCTTCTTACTGATACCTGTGTCATTTACTACGAGAAGGAAAGAACCGTCTCCACTGCCGAGCCTCAGGTCTCGATGACCACCGCTCTGGCTGCGCAACCCGGCCTTCCCGGGTGGGGTCTCCGCCGTCAAGATGAATGCCACCACACCAAGCATCCCGCAAAGCGTGAGACGGACTTTGGCATCGCGTATGCCGCCACGGATATAACCAAGGAAAACGGAGCCATCAGGGTGGTTTTGGGGTCGAACAGATGGAATGACATTCGTGACCCCACAGACGAAGACGAGACACTCGTGGAGCTTCGCAAGGGAGATGCCCTTCTCTGGTGAGTCCACATCTTCATTGGCTACAACTGCATTGTATGACATGCTCACTGACAATATTGGACAGCTTGGGGTCTGTCTACTATGGTGTAACGTCGAACAAGTCTTCAGTCCCGAGCGTTCTTCTCAGCGCCTTCTCCACCCCGGGCTGGTGCCGCCAGGAGGAGAACCAATACTTGGCCGTTCCACTTGAAGTTCTTGAGAAGTTTCCCGAAAACATTCAGAGATTTCTCGGTTGGTACGTCAGCAGACCATACGGAGGAGCAGTCGAGCACATGGAGCCCTTGGACTTCCTCAAGGCGAAGGGAGACTGGTCGAAGTATGTTCCTGTGGACCTAGTTTAGACGTCTCTTAATCCGCATGTGCTTTCTTAAAACGAAACATCATTCTCCCGATAACTCTCTTTTCCAGTCGTGATGTTTCCGTCTTGTTCTGGGCTTCCCATTGAAGTGATGATTGGTCAGACTCAAGGCATATTACAATGGATACCATGTTCGCATAATCTTATGGATGGTCCTCAGAAAAGTAGCGAAGGAAATTTGTATGGTCCAAGGAACTTCAAGCTTTACTAGTCCAAGTGTTGGCTAAGTGTTGACCAACACGATGAATTCCAAACATAGTGACGACAATATCCCTCAGTAAGAGACTGCCTAATCTTCCTGTGCTGGAGTGGCTACTCAACGGTGGCGGCGGCGATGATAACGACAACAGCAAGGTAGGGTACGCAACCACATGAGAAGTAGTCGCCGTAACCGATTCTCCTGCGAGAATTAGGCTTCTATGCACACCGGCGCCGACTGGCTGGAATGATTCCTTAACAAAAAGATAGCAATTTTTGACTTCCTACCACCTTGGGACGTACCATGCTCGTATTGGAGAAAGTCGTTGTGGCTGTCATTGGGATATCTGCCCCGCTTTCATTGGGTGCTCTAGTTCGTTGGTTTATCGGCAACTTTAACCCATTTGGGACGCCCTTCCAGTGTACCCAGTAACACATTGCGTCCCAAATGCAGCATTCCTGTGCCATAGGCTTCCACTACCTCATGTAGATAGACGTGCCTCTTTTTGACTCATTTTTCACCATTCAAATTGGTCATCAGATTGACCCCAATCAAAGAGTTTGGCCCCCCCTAAGTTGGTGTGAGGAATGAAGTGAAAAAGAACCCGCAATAGTCCAAGACGAAAGGGAAAGGATGCAACTTCGCCTGTCGCCTTCCTACCTCGTTATCCCTTGGAACACAACGTCAAATGATTCCAGGCATTATCCAAGCTATGCGGTCAACAACAATACTACCACGCGCCTCTCGGGATCAGGATACGAAAGATGCATCTCGCGACGTCGAGGCCTCCGTTATCGACCGCGTGGCCACGGCCACATCACAGGTTCCTCCCGTAGAGAGCGGAACTTTTGAGATCGATACGGAACAGCAACCTAGCAAATCTTCACAAATTGTCATTACATGTCTAGTAATACTCTGTAACTTGACACAAGTAAGGGCGCCCTCTGCCGTGCTTGACAATTGCTGACGACTGTAAAGTTTGTCTCCATGTTCTCTACTGTTGCAGGCGGATTCCAATTCAGCGCTGAGCTCGGCCGAGATTTTGGACCCGGGCAGGCTAACTGGATGGGAGCGGCATACTCGTTCGTCTTGTCTTTAAAACGCCAGACTATTGTGGGTTGAGCTGACAGGATTGTGCTTAGACTTACTCAAAGTGCTTTCGTCCTAATTAGTGGCCGACTTGGGACCATTTATGGCCACCAGAACATGCTATTTCTTGGTGGTGGAATCATCGTTGTCCTTTCCCTAGGAAATGCATTTTGCAAGACTTACGAGTCGTTTGTGGCCATGAGGGCCATGACCGGAATTGGCGGCGGTATTATCATGCCGAACGCTGTTGCAGTCCTCACGATCATGATTCCACCAGGACAGAGCCGAAATATCACACTTGCCGCTTTTGCAGCTTCACCGCCATGTGGCGCACTCGTTGGAGCTCTGTTAGCCGGTGTATTCCTAGAGTATACCGAATGGAAATGGTTTTTCATAGTGATGTAAGTCATCTGATCTATGAGTACCCAGAAACACTCTGACAAAGTACAGCGCCATCTTGGGAACCGTAACGTTTGGATCCCTGTTTCTTGTGCTTCCACATGACGAGCCTGTGGACAAGGGGGGCAGTATTGACTACCTGGGTATCGTATTCGGTCTTGGTGGCCTGCTGCTTTTCAACTTCGCTTGGAAGTAAGTTTGATCATTCAGTTTTCTCAGGGCCATCATCTAACAACCAATCAGCCAGTCACCATCAATTGGGTGGGATTCTCCGTCCGTCATCTCCACCCTCATTATATCCCTCCTCCTATTTACGGCTTTCATGATTTGGGAGAGCAAGTTTGCCAAGGATCCCATCATGCCCCTGACAGTCTTCGCCGCCCCAACATTTACGGCCCTAATCTTCGTGGCATTGCTCACATACATGTCCGTTGGCATCAGCCTGTGGTATATGGTCGCCTGGCAACAACTCCTACGAAACTGGACGGTCCTTCATGTTGCTATAGGTTGGATCCCTTATGCTGTAGGCGCCTCAATGTCAGTTGGACTGGCGGCGTGGTTGATCCCCCGCATCGAAGCGCAGAGCATCATGGCAATCGGAATCTTAGCTTCCATCGTGTCATGTTTGCTGCTGGCAACAATGCCGGAGCAGCAAATCTACTGGGCACAGACGTTTCCCTCCATCTTTATCGGGTCTCTCTGCCCTGATTTCGTTTATGTGGCTGCACAGATCATAGCCAGCAACAGCGTTGGAAAGCGAGAGCAAGGCGTTGCTGGGAGTTTGATCGGTACGCTGAATCTCTACGGAAACAGTCTAGGCCTCGGCTTTGCTGGAACCATTGAGTCGCAACTTATCAAAAATGGCGCGAGTCACGTCACGAGCTTTCGTGCCGCCTTGTACTTTGCTATGGCCCTCTCTGCAGCTGCGTTGGTGTTAGACTTTGGCTTCGTCAGGATGCCCAAAGATGATCGGAAGGGATGGGAACAGGACGACTCCCGCAGAGACGAAGACTTGCAAGGCTCATGAAGGCCTCGACAATAAGGTTGACTCTCGTGGATCCTCAACGCATTCAAGGGCAAATACTAGTGGGAAGTCATTCTATATCGGCAGGTAGTCATTCATGCATGTGGATCAATTGCAAGGAGTCCTTCCGAGCTATGAATTCATATCATAGGGGCTCGACGGTTTGAAAAGCATCTTATACAGTTCTGAAAGCGCCCTCCATGGGCAGGCTACTAGCTAGACCATCTTCTCGAGTATGTACAGGCTTGGTCTTGGTATCATTTGAATAATCCGAAGCCACCACGTGGGGCTATTAGAGGTGTGGCTATCAAGCACAAATATGCGAGTTTCTGATGTGCGTTAGTTGTATTCGACGAGTAGCACAGCGGAGGCCGTGACTTACAACCCCACTTGACGCAGCAGTAGCTAGTGCCTCCAGTGTGCTGAGAGCAGGTGTAGCCAGCAAGGCATCCCTGGAAGGCGCAAGTGAACCTGGAGCTGTAGCAAGCACCAATGTCCTTGACCTCGGCGCGGCCCTCCAACTGCTCAATCTCGGTGGGAGCAGCGATGGCGGTGGCGGACAGGAGTCCGAGGGCGAGGACGACGAGCTGAGTGGGCTGGAAAAGCATCTTGATAATGACGTTGAATGAATGTCTAGAAGTTGGAAGTCTTTAAGTGTCTGAAGGGAATGGTAAATAAATTCAGTGTCAGTCGGCAGCGCTGCTGGTCCGTATTAATAGTTCCAGATGAACCATAGTCTCTGATGCTGTTGTCTGTTGAGCTCTGCGTGGAGTCCGGGGAAGACGAATCTGGAGGATTGGGATCAGCATCTGCTCCGCTGCAGATGTCTTGGCTCCTTTGGCCGATACGGGGCGGAAGTCATCTGTGGATCAGATTTGGCGTTGTCTTCACTGAAGCGTTGACTCGTATTGACAACCGCGATATAGCGAGTCATTGTATTTCACCAAGTTGCAGAGTGGTCGTCAGGTTTAGGCGGAGATTTCCAGACTTGCAGATCGCAGCCTAATCTGAAAGACCTCAATAGGGCGCTGGGCGCTGTTACACAAACGTCATTGCAAGCACGTAGGCCCAAAAACCGCGTATAGACGGTGGAAGTTTCGAAAGCTGCTCGTCTAAAGTCGTACCAACAACGTGGTGGATTCGAATGCTCGTCTCGAGTTTATTGGAATGCTTGTATCACGGGTCGGGAAACCTTAAATGGCTTGTTTGATCCATTTAAAGGCAATTAAGAAGAAAGTCTAAAATTGGTAGCGAAATCAGTTTGGTCGGGCGAGTCAGCGTGGTTGAGCCAGGTTCCCCAGCATTCTCGACCGCAACGTCGGGTTGTGGCGTGACGATCATTTGAGCCGCGGGACCGCGTCAAGTTTTTGGATTTACAACGGCCGGGTTCGGGGGATTAAGACTTTCTCCCCGGGCCTGCTGACATCCGCAATAAGTTCGGGAGATGAATACTTTCTTGATTATCGACAACCCTGACTCTGTCTGGTTTTCGCTCTGTGTGTTGTGCGAATCAAAATTCCCAAGCCGGCCAGTTGCTTGTGGGTTTCGCAAGTGGAGACATTCGCGGCCAAACCTCCTTTCCTCCAATGAATACGCGGTCGATATCCTCAACCCCAGACGAGAAAACAAAGGCCGATACGGGATTCCCTAGATGACCCATGTGATGGGGGTTAAGGAGAACGATGTCCGCCAGCTTGCCGACCTCAAGGCTTCCGACTTTATCAGCTACACCCAAAACATCCGCAGCACCTAGCGTGTGCATGCGAAAGACGTCTTGAGGAGACAGCACCGACGGGTCTTGATACTTGCCTCTTACGGAGTACAGGCCCACACGCATGTTCTCAAACGGGTCGCTCCGGTCGCTGCTCGCTTCTCCATCAACGCCCATGCCGATCGGAAGCTTGTGTCTTCGATATTTGGGAATGTCGGCAATCCCGGATCCGAGGCGCCCGTTGGACATTGGGTTCCAGCTAATTTTGAGCCCCGCTGATGAAGCCTCGTCAAGAATGTCGGGGGTTGGATGGAGGAAATGGCCTAGGATAAGCCTCGAGTTGACTGCACCAGCATCTCTGAGCCAGGTCCAGCGGCGGATTTATGCACACTAGGGTATCTAAAAAGTAGCTAGGGGGGTATAGCGTAACTAGAAAAACTAAAAAGCTATATTATATATACTTATCTAGCCCTATATAGTAATTAATATAATTCTATAAAAAATAAATATATACTATTTAAAGTATAGTAGTTATACTAACTTTATTTAACTAAGGTATATACTTAGAAATAACTTTATATATAACTAAATCTACTTTAGTTATAGTTTAGTATATATTAAATTTCTATACCTATATATTAAATTTTTTTTTTCTTTTCTTAAAATATACTATTTAGAAGAATATTATATATATATACTATCCTAAGTAGGAATTAAATATATACTAAATCTTAAAANTATATATATACTATCCTAAGTAGGAATTAAGTATATACTAAGTCTTAAAATAGATTATACCTACTTATAAGGACTTTATAAATAAGGGGGTTAATAGGTTTTATAACTTATACCCTTATTATAGCTATTTTTATAGTATATTTAGTATATACTTACGCTATNATTATAGCTATTTTTAGAGTATATTTAGTATATATTTATACTATATTTAAAATATACTAAAACTAATTTAAAATAGGTCTTATTATTAACTTAAATTAAGATTAAGAAGGTTCTAATAGGAAATAAACTAATACTCTATATATATATAATACTAATTTAATTTTAGTTTTACTTATTAATATAATAAAGGAGTATAATATTAGTAAGTTAAGTAATTTTCTAGGCTAGTTTTAGTATATATTAACTATAAATATAGCTATACTTAACTATAATATTAAACTATCTTAAGTTATAAGTTATATATAAGTCTTCTACCTCCCCTTTAACTAATCTATAGTATATACTAACTTAATT